TAAGTTGCGCTCTACATTACCGTCAGATCGGAAAGTCAACTATATATTATATCCAGGCACGATCGTTTGCAAACGGGATACTCGCCTATAGCGGCAAATTCAAATTGGTTCTAAAACCAATCAACTTAAATTTTAGCTCTTAACCCTTTACCCCAAGTACTTTAACTCCATAACCCTGTTACGTAGCGACGTCACCTATACTATCGTACGTTACAACCCTGTACTCTTAAGCCCTTAAACCAAATGACCCGGGGTGTAGAGTTCAATGAGTTAATAATTTAATTTTCTTATTAACAATAAAAGAGCCACTTATAACAAAAAAAGGAAATAACTTGTAAATCATTAAAATAGTACTGTTATGGTGAAAAAAAAAAATTAATAATTAAAATAACTCGGTTAGCTAATAAATAAAAATTATTAACAAGCATAATCTTCCACTTTCGATCTCTTGAGCTCCTAACTCTTCACCCCAAGTGCTTAAACCCCGTAACCCTGTACTATTAACCCTAAACAAAATAACCCTGGGTGCGGAGTTTAATTTGTTAATAATTAAATTTTCTTATGCACTATAAAAGAGTTACTTATCTTTTTAATAATAATAACACTTTAATTTTGGTGCGGTATGGTGATCGTTACGTTCCTAGGAGAAACATACTAGATTTTGAAAGTCAAGCTCATCACTTATTTACATGTCGGATTAAAATTTTAAAAAATTAAATATATAAAAAGCGATACAGTACAACAATGTGAAATATCGTGTAGTGTATTTTTTACGGTGTATACTTATACGTTCAAAGTTTCAAAAACATCTATCAGAAAAACCTATGTGTGATAAATGTCCTCTTAAATCCCGTAATTTTCTATGCAATTCCAACGTAATAAACTGATGCGTTCAGTTATATTAGTTAACTTTAATAAACTAATAATCACTAATAACTAATTCATTACAATTTTTATGCAAAAAGTGCTTACAACTTTGAATGTCACAACTTTAAAACTTTTAAAACTACTGAAGTTGTATTGTACAAGGATAAATGACTTATAAGTCCAGTGAACTATTTTAGAAGAGTGATCTTCAAATGTGCAAGTCATTAAAATATTAGTTTGCCATAATTTTATAGATATATTCTTATTAAAAAAAAANTCCTCTTACAAAGGGTGAAAATTCTGAGAAATCAAGAAAAACATACGTCCGCTGCTTTAACTTAATATAATTTTCCAACATTAATCAACTTACATATTGTAATCTGTCCATTTATTATACAATTTTTTTGTTTTCAGTTATAATTCGTTTAAACAGCCTTTTTATATATTTTTCCATTATTTTGTTTTCTGTTGAAAAATCCTTTTGTGTTGAACATATTTTTTTTTGTATACGTACTAAAAAAACGGCTTCTGGATATATAATCGTAATTAAAAAATGATTTAAAAATTATTTCCTTTGTTTGTGATGAGTAAGTAGCTCTTTTATAGTTGATAAGAGAATTTAATTATTAACAAATTAAACTCCACACCCAGGGTGAATTTGTTTAAGGGCTTAATAGTACAGGGTTACGGGGTTTAAGCACTTGGGGTGAAGAGTTAGGAGCTCAAGAGATCGAAAGTGGAAGATTATGCTTGTTAATAATTTTTATTTATTAGCTAACCGAGTTATTTCAATTATTAATTTTTTTTTTCACCGTAACAATACTATTTTAATGATTTACAAGTTATTTCCTTTTTTTGTTATAAGTGGCTCTTTCATTGTCAATAAAAAAATTAAATTATTATCTAACTGAACTCCACACTCAGGGTTATTTTGTTTAAGGGATTAAAAGTACAGGGTTATGGTGTAAAGGGTATTATGGGGGTTAAGAGCTTGAATTTACGTTGATTGGTTTTAGAACGTTTGAATTTGCCGCTAGGCGGGTGTCCCATTTGGCCACGGTCACAGTTCTATATACACACATATATATTTTCATCACCCCTAACCCCTAACCCTCCGCCCTCCACACACATAGCTGAGAAAGACTCTTTCACCAGCACTCTTCAGTTCTTACTTACCCTCGGGAACAGTGATACTGTGTGGTGTGTGCAAGTGCTATACCTACTTAATTGTACTTGTCGCCGACGACCATCACCGCGATACCGTTACTTGCCCAGCTCCTGCTACGTTTTATTATTTTCTCTCTTACCAGTCTTACCACGAGTAATAAATAAGTAAATACTTGACTTATATGTACACTGTCTCTTGCCTGCTCCGAAACCATACTCATGTTCCCCATGACGGCTCGCGTAACCCTCATATCTCCCGTGTTGCTCATCATCATCATAAGTGTATCATCATTAACTTGTACGTACTCGAATTACAGGCGTCATCATCAGGACCAGTACTGCATCAGCAACCCCATGATCACCGAGGCGAGCAAGTGACGCCGCGCGCGGGGGGGGGCCTCGCAGAGAGAGAGAGAGGAGTGCGTGCAAGTGACAACACGCGCCAGCTGTACACGTACCTGAAGTATAATTATCACTCAACTCAACAACCACAACCCGTCCTTTTGGGACTGCTGTACTCCTGAGAGAGAAAGAGAGGGGAAGCACAGCTGCCGGCAGTAACCTTAAAGCCATGGCGGAGGAGAGCGTCGAGGCCAAGTCGGCAGGTCCCTCCTCGCCCAGGAGTCCCCATGTACCCGGAACCGTTGTTGCTGCTGCTGTCCCCGCTACGACTGCTGCTATTACCGTTACTAACGTCGCTGCTGCCAACAACAATAATCCTGCTGCTGCTGCTGCTACTGTAGCTGGAGCACCAGCAGCAGCAACAGCAACTGGTACCAGTACCTGCAGCTCAGCGCCAGTGAACCCTGGCAACGGGTCGGCCAAGGCCAGTGGTAGCCCTCGCTCGCCCCGGCAGCCGCGCAGGGTCAAGCTCAGCGAGCATCAGCTGGACGGCTTGAGCAAGGACGAGCTGGCGGCCAAGTGGCGCGAGCAGGACTCCTATGTGGACTTTTTGGAGTCTCAGGCGACGACCCTGGAAGGTACGGAGATCAATCGTGAGCGAGAGCTCTTATCTACCACAACACACTGCCTCCTACATTTCTTTAATGTTGAGGCTCCCAAAAGGTCAATAAAGGCCACACCTACATACTTATGCAAACGAGCCGACAGTCTTGGGACTTTTGTGCTCCTTGTAATAAAAATATGAGGGAAATGATATTGAGGTTGGTCCGTCTTTTGGAGCTGTCTGTCGTCAAGCGTCATTCGCCAGACATGTATATGTACCTACTACTTGTTGTTCAGTGTCTTTTCTGATGCTGCAAATCGATTCATTTACTTGATTATAGGCTTAAGATCGCTACAAATAATTCTCATTCTATCTTATTACATTACACTCAGGCTGTTTTATTATTGGAGTTTTCAAGGTGATGTGCTGTGCAATGGCCATTTGTGATTTTATATGAAGAAGTGCTTTTTAGTCTGTGATTTAGTGAAAAATTTTTTTTTCTCTCTTTTTTTATCCTCACTCCATTGGTGCATAATTTACACGTCGTTTGCAATTGATGCCTACAAGTGTCAGTGCTAAATTTTAGTTGAAATTTTTTTTTTTTTTTTTTTTTTTTTTACTTTGTATGGAAAGTAATTTAAAATGGTGGAAAAATTGGTGTTATTAAAGTATATATGTTAGCCTTGTGTATACTGAATGGGCAATAGAAAATCATTGAAACTACTGCTGCAAGGCACCAGCAAACGGTTTAAAACATCTGGATCACTGATCACTGTATCACTTGGCACAAGTCTGTTCTTTCTCTAAACTTTTCCTTAATATCGTATCATCTATTTTTAGATCCGACCCACAAAAATAGTCTTCCCTCTCCATCATTGGCATCCCAAGTGTTTTCAAAGCAATCCCACTCATCCTAATTAAATTTATCATTCCTTTGATGAGAAAAATGAATTGACTGTGCTGGAATTCGAGTGGACAAAGCACTTTAAAGCCTTGGAAGAGTTAAAGCATCTCCTGGAACGATCTGCTGAAACAGAAACAAAGATCACAGCACCTCACCATGATGCTACCAAAGGGCTGAAGTATCGCCAGTACACATGATCAAAGTATGCGTCAATTAAGATGTCATTTGTTGGACAATTTTTAAAATCACTATATCCAAACAAATTTTTATACATATGCACACTGCAAATATCCAGTATATCTCTTGAATAATAACTTTGTTACATTCTTCAATATTTTGAAGATTATGCATCTTTGCAATACTGACACTATTTTTTTTTTTTTTTTTTTTTAATATAAATACATGATTTCCAGTCTCTAATACCTTTACTTAGAGAATGTTCACTGAAATAGAATATTAAACACTCATGATTCATTATTTCCAACATAAGTGAACAGCCTAGAAAAATCAGTAGTTCCCTCATATGGATTATTAATTTATTGATTTTTTTTTCTAATAATATGTACTTTTTAGTTAAACTTTTTTTAACCTGACCAACAATCATATACTTCACTCATGTAAAAAATTTAGATGTAATGATTCATACAAGTCTTAACGTTCAGTAGAATATGATAATTGATCAAAAAATATAGTGTAAAAATTTTTATATTTAGGGGATACTGTTTCATTGAAAGAATCGGAAGAAAAATACAGACAGCAGTATGCAGAAGCTTCCCACAGAGAAAAAATCTTAGTAAGAAGATTGGCTTCAAAAGAACAAGAATTGCAAGAATATGCGGTTAGTAATCCGATTGGCTTATCACAATTTAATTAATTTTCGTGCAAATGACAATTAAAAATATTCGTACCATTTTATGCTGTTTACATACAGAATCAATTGACTGAAATGAAAGCCACCCATGCACCGTCCGCTGCAGCTTTAAGGTCTACTCTTCTTGATCCAGCTGTAAATATACTTATACAAAAATTACGGCAAGAATTAATAACAACAAAAGCTAAATTAGAAGACACACAAAATGAATTGAGCGCCTGGAAATTTACTCCAGACAGGTGAGTTTTTTTTTAATATATATATATATGCTTGAAAAATCTACAAAACTTTTTATTTGTAAACTGAAAAAAATAATTTTTACATTTAGTAATACTGGAAAGAGATTAATGGCCAAATGTAGACTATTGTATCAAGAGAACGAAGAATTAGGTCGTATGATATCTAGTGGACGTATAGCTAAATTAGAAGGAGAACTAGCACTTCAAAAGAGTTACAGCGAAGAAATGAAGAAGTCCCAATCCGGTAAGACATTAAATCTATCTATATAAGCAAACTTTCTTTATTCATTCATGCATCCTTGCAACAAAAAAAACTTGAAAGACGAAGAAAACTAGCGGTTTTACTTATGTGGAGATCCACACTGTAGTTAAGAAAGCACGATCGTTACAATTACAAAAAATTTTCAAATGAATAGGTTTAAGTTCAAAGGAAATTAATAAAAGCAACATCCTCATTCTGCTTAAATGAGGAAATATAGAATAACATAAAATATAATACTTTTTTATTACATATCGAATTTCGTGATACGATCAGTAATGCATTTTTAATATCAATGTACTTTATCAAAGACTCATTACTCATGCTAAAGACTAAAATTATTTTGTGAACGTCAATGAAAATGTATTAAATAATGTTAAAATAATTATTTTCAGAACTAGACGAATTCCTTCAAGATCTTGATGAAGACGTTGAAGGTATGCAGAGCACAATTTACTTTTTGCAACAAGAGTTACGCAAGGCACGTGACTCTGTAACCACGTTGCAATTAGAAAACGCGACTTTAAGATCTTCTGTAGGTGAAAACAATTTGACAAATGGCTTGTCACCGCATACACCACCGATTAAAAAAGACGAAGCTGAAGAGAACGTAGCGCCAGAGGTAACGAAGCCGATAAAAAGCGAAGACAGTGACAGGTATAAAGGTGCTAGGACTCCTCCGTTACCTTCCGAGAGTTCGACTCCAAGTGAGCGTGCGAGTGTAGATATTAAGCCAGAAAGAACAGAAAACAAAACGGAACAAAATGACGAGAGCTCGAGTGACTCTGCAGCTTTGATTATTAAAGTGGAAAGCGAACTGTTAAGTGAGCGTGAAGAGGAAGACGAGTCGAGGTCCAGTAAAAGGACATTAAGGACTAAGAGTAATAACAGGAGCAGTGGCAAGACTAACGGGGAAGAAGTGTTAACAAGGACGACAAGGGGAAGGGATAAATCAAAGAGGGACAAAAGTGTGCTAAGTAGTGACGATGAAAGGATTCACAAAAAGAAACGCAGGGGCAGTCTTCTGTCCCTCGAGTGCAGCGAGGGAGGTGACGAGGACTCTCTGGTTATAACTAACGGCGAGATGCAAAGTGATCCAGAGTGAACGTAATGTATGTTTGTAGCTAATTACAACTATGCAAATATCAAAGTTAACTGGTTTAATGAGAAGTATGATTATATTAATAAGTCAACGCGTTATCAAAACTGACAAAGGTCACTTATGAGTGACAACGAAATTGTATTATAAACACATAATAATTGTATGATTATGAGAAATTATAGAATTTTAACGGTTTACTTTTATAAAATTGAATTTGTCAAAGTAATCACAGTTAATCATCACACTATTTAATTTAAACAACATCAACATATGTATGCTTTATTTTCATCGGACAATTCGTTAGTATATCTTCCAGTATCAATTGAGACTTTATCCATAAATACACAGATTATTCATTGGCACTAATTCAAATGAATTTCATAATGTGTATAAATATACATAAAAATTCCTAGTTAACAATATCTATACTAAGCTTGTGTGTGGAAAATGAAGTTTGTATATTATGCTCTACAACTTGATTTTCAATTTACTCTGAAATCGTACAATTAGATAATCATGCGGTTAAAAAATATAGATTTTAAAATTATTTTCGAGAAAATCACTTGTGGCATATTATTAAAGACAATTGTACAAAGTATTCTAATTAACGTTTTGAGTGAAAAGCGTTTATTAACATAAATTCATTTTTTAATCATTTTCATTTTCAAATCAATCAAATGGCTTATGAGATCGATTTGTACATTTACAAGCACTTGCAAATGACGTACGCTGCATCTTTTTTTTTACTTGGCAATTGTCAAATTTTTTTCTATTTTGAATTAATTTGAAAAGGTAACAGATGTATCTTACAAATATTAAATCATCAACATCTTCCTTTTTAATTAATTTGCGTGCCGAGTATTAAAAGTGACTTTCTATTTGCAGTTTTAAATTGTTTGACATTTGAAGTACATAATATTTATTAACTGATATTCAGATTGTAAAAAAAAAAAACTACGTACGATGCAACTAAATAGTCATATTTGTAAAAAAGTTTTGTTAGAAGTATATTTTTTACTTACAGAAATAATGTGAAAATTGTATTGTACTTGTTAAAAAGAAAAAAGTAATGTGCATATTGTAGCATAGACTTGTAATTATACTTAAACATTATTTATTTCCTACAATATCCTATTTTATCCAGTTTCAATTTTTTATGAATTTATAATTTTTTACTTTTATGGGTATCTGTGAAAATATTTTTTCTCGTTATACTTTATAATATTTGTACAACCTATATCAATGGTTGCCAAGATTTTATAAAATGTTTTAAACGGAAACAAATGCAATTTTTATAATAATGATTAAAAGTTTTTTTTTGTATATTATTACTTATTTACCAGTAGCATTTTACAGAGGTAACTTACGTTAGTAACCATAGTGGATGCATGCATAGGTTTGGTAACAAAACATTTTTTAAATTTATCTAAAAATATAAATCTAAATCTCATTTTCTCACGGGATTTATCAAACAAATCGTTTAGTATTTTAATTTATTCGTGTTGTTTTACTATCAATGAATAAATAAAGTCGTTTTATGCAATTAATTGACTTGTCATTTATGGTTACTTTTTAAATGTTAAATTTAAAAAATAACAATTAGAAATTCAGTATATTTAGTTGCATTGCCGTACAAGGCCAAAAATTTAGATCCTAAGTATTCTGAATTTATTTTCATTAAGAATTTTAAAAACTAGATTGTGATTGAGTAAGTTGAGACGCTGGTACATTTAAATACATGAAATTCAACTGCTCGACGCATCTGGGAAATCGTAAAAAAATATCGGTATTTTGCCGTTTCGCCAAAAACAAACTTTGTTTTCGAACTAACAATGTATCCCATAAATTATTCATATCAAGTCGTTAATTAATAAGTTCTGATTTGTGTTTCGTTCGAAATTCTTGCTTTTCTTCAAAAAGACCCTCAACCTTCCATATTTTATTTAGTAAGGATATACCATATCACACGAAGAGAAAAAGTGCTCACAATTTTTTTCCTTCTTATTTTATTATCATGTCCAACAACCCTCTACTACATCTCATCAACAAATAAGGTGACATATAATAATATATATACCATCTATGGAACATCAATCGGAAAAACGGGACAATTTGGCGTTCCGAATCTTTCGTCGGGGGTAACCGGGACAGAACTCCGTAAAAACGGACGAACGGCTCCCTTACACACGTGTCGTACAATTAATTAATTTTAATTCTAACTTCAGGGTATGAGGGTACTCCGAGAGAGTATCTCTCTCTCTCTCTCCCTCTCATTTTCTGTTATATATTAGAATTGGTCTAGAAACTAGAAAGTGACAAACAGACCCAGTGCAGTACAGCAAGCTATAGGTTGTGACGGAACATATTATTAGAACAATTAAGTATTGCACAGTACTCCAATTTTTGTCGTCGAATGAGGGATAATTCATAACGGATCTCACTTGCAAAATTCCATGTCAATAGTTTACACATTATTGGAGGACATAAATACGACAATCATGATTGTTATGACTTTTTACGTAAAAGAGAACCTAATTTGTTTTTAAAAGGAAGTAAGTATTAGTTATTTATTCGAATAAAGAAACGATAGTAAATGCACGCATTTCAAAAAAGTAGGTTTTATGATCCTCCTAGAAGAGCGAAGCCCTCCAAGAAAACTTCTGACACCTAATGGTACTTTTCGTCGGGTAAGTGCCATTATCTCCAGGGCTAGATTTCGCGGCCCGAGGGACTTGCGAAGCAGGGCACACCAGCCTCTCAAAAACGCTCGAGGTAGGAAAAAAATATTAATCCCTCAAAAGTTTGTTTATTCAAGTAAGAAATCACAAGTTCTCAGAAATATTAAGTTTTTTTTTTTATTTTTCTTAACATGGGCACAAAGTGATTTGCTGGGCGCAAAACTGCACTTTGCGCCCTTGGTAAGAAAAACATTATACGTGTGACTCGGGCACCAATCACCAACATACAACAATCGCGCCCTTCGGGAGCTCATGTTTGTACTTTGTACCCTAGGGACGTAATGTACCACGTCCTATGTATTATTTTCTAGGAATATACGAATTTTACTTCAATAATAATAGATACATAACCTGATTGAAAATCGTACCTTGGCTGTAACGGGGGTAAGCTAGTAGTGCATTATGCCTATAGCTAGGCGCTAGGCCCCTGTTACACGGTTACAGCCAAGGTACGATTTCCAACCGGGAATATAAGCAGAGAAAATCGAACTGAGTATTACGAAGAAACGAATGAAAGCATGTATTGGTATATAAGTATAAGAGGTCCAAAGCAAATTTTACAAAGAAATATTCCAACAACAGCGATTATTTATCAATCCTTATTTATTACACCTTACATTGTATGCGATCCTATCAAACGACCGTCCGACCGAACAAAAAAAAAACGTATCCAAAGACACATCGCAATACGCGAGGAACGAGGGATAACAAAAAAATTAGCCTCTCTTCCTCTACAATACGCGTTCTATGTGGGGTGACCGAGACCTAATTTACCAACTTTTGTTGTTGTGTAAAAAAAAAAATTGATACAAGGCTGAAGGAGTCTACTTGATGAATCGAAATTTTCTGATTTGGCTTTCTCACACAATGTAAGAAAAATTAGTGAATTAAACCCCAGAGGAGTTTGTAAAAGTTAGATAAAGATCACAGTGGCAGAAAAGAAGTACTAGTCGAAAGAATTACTGCTGCAACTTCTACAAAAGTTGAGAAACGTCATGATTCATGGAGATCCAGAGTATTTATCGTTTTTCTTGGTCACAAGTTAAATGGTAATATAAAAAGTACCATATAATCCAACCGACATTGTTGCTACAACTTGGTGCAATTGATAGAAAAGTCATTAAAGAGATTGATGCCATTTGCGGCAGAATAAGGACTCTTTTGATAGTGCCCGATAATGTACTCCCTACAAGAAAAAATTCATGCCGCAACTTTGCCAAACGTTTCTTTATAAAAATTTATGCTATAGATCACAGTCACAGCTGTTTTTTGAATTTCTGGGGATGGAAAAATAACCTTTTCCGCTTTCTAACCTCAAAATAGCTCCTTCCTACTCTTAATTTTGGGTTCTTAGGCGAAAAATAGTATACGAAACTCGTTCAAAAAGGCTTATTCTTTACGAACCTCGTTACGGCCCTTGCCTTCGGCTCGTGCCGTAAATCGAAATCCTTTGCAAACTCGTACCTCTTATGTAATATACTATTTTTCCGTTGCTCATCTAACGCTTATCTTATCTATATATACTCATCTAATGTTATAGATAATGTAACATAGATAAGATACGCGTTAAAAGAACGACGAAAAAAAGTTTATTTTCTATCCAACTTTAGTTTCGTGTACTTAATAATAATCTTAAAAAAACGTTTCGCAAAGATGCGGCATTAATTTTTTTTTGTCCGGGGGGGGGGTATTTTTTTCACGGGGCCATTTTCGAGTACTAAAAGAGTCCCAATTCTGCCGTAAATGGCAATCCTTGTTGACCACTTGTTATTTTCTATCAATTGAACTAGGTTGCGGCAATAATGTCCATTGGACCATGTGGCACTTTGTATATTACCGTATAACTCGTGACCAAGAAAAAAAATCACGAAAATACTCCAGATCCCGACAAATAATGGCGTCTCTCAGCTCTACAGGAGCTATTCACATAGACATTTTTTGCTTATTTCATTGTGAACGTTCTTATTGAAAAAGGCGTTCCACTGTTCCGCTAAACTCAAAGTGAGTGAACAGACTGAACAGACCGATACCTCTTTTTCCATCAGGCAACAAAGCCTATGGTCGCAACTATGTTGACTGACTGGATCCGTACCATATAACTATTTTTCTGTACATCGGCCTATGTTATAACATAATTATAGGCTTGTGAAGCAAAAAAAAGTTATATGGTACGGCCCCAGAGAACACAGTATAGGTCTGTTCACTCAATTTGAGTTTAGCGGAACAGTGGAACCCCCTTTTCAATACGAACGTTCACAATGAAATAAGCAAAAAATGTCTATGTGAATAGCTCCTACACCTGGCCACAGGGCCCTTACACGCAAATACGATAAGGATAAAATAAAGTATGAATGTACATCAATACAATTCTTTTGCTTATTCCCGCTTGATATTTCACCCATTCCCGTTACCTTATTCCTTATTATTTGCTCTTATGACAGAGCTATTCATGCACATAGACATTTGTGTACATTTATTATAAATTCATAATAAATCTCGTGTATCATAATGTCTATTTTCTCTACATGCAAATACCTCCTGCATCACCTACATGTAGCGTGTAAAGGCCCATTCGCGCTCCTGTTCTAGGACATAACCATGAGCATCGACTCTCATAAAAACAAACTAGAATCGATAAACTATAAACTCCCCATTCTTTTTTTAAACAGGTTAAAACAACGATTATTTTAATAAAAAAAAGGCGTTTTGTCATTTTATAAATACTGATTGAGTGAGAAAAGTACGGTAGCAAAGAGATACGTAGTGGACTGTGGAGTGGACCGGAACTTCTGACAAACATTGCTTGACTTACGTTGTACATATCTGATATTGTTATGTAATGGGTAAAACCTTCACGCTTTCATTTTGTAAATCATGTTGCGTGATGAAATGTAATACTCAAGTATAACATATAACATATTTGTATAACATATTTGTTATATACTGGTATATAACAAAATGATCAAGTCATACATAAAAATGCTAATGATTGTTCCACTCTTGGTGACTCTCGGGGTTGTATTACTTATTCCAAATCATGAAATACACGGCCATTTGTTTGATATTTTCGAGCATTATTAAATATTTCATAAACTAATGTAAAAATGGTTTTTAAGGTAATTTGTCATACTATTGATTGAATCAAGTAATTTAAGCTCGCTTATTTCAAGTAAGATTACTTGTTTTTATTTTTTAACTTCTCGTTCTCAAGTACATAAATTTACAAAAAATAACAAATTTCTTTAACGAGTCCAGACGTGCAAAAATAGGTGACCCTTAAGCGTACAGGAAACAGGAGGCGTAATTCACAATCTTCGCACGTCAGCATGTTGCGACGCGACGCTAAGTAAAACCATATGTATAGGTATATTATCCCGGGTCCCGGGTTAAACTAGCGGTGGCGTCGGTGTCGGTGGCGACTGGCGACTACGCTAATCAGTGATGGGTTAAAGTTGTGAAGGCTCCTATACTGTTCGACGACGGCAATATGGCAAACGGTGACCGGCGTATTCTGGACAAAAACTCCCCACTCTCGAACTAACCGCTATTTACCATTGTTACATTTGAAAACTGGACAAGTTTTAACGACCCATTCACTCATGAGAAAGCGAGAATAGTGGAATGACTTCCGGTTGAAATTCTCTGACTCAATTACGAGTTATTGTTATATGTTCTACTTGGAATAACCGCGTGTGGGCGATCACAACGAGCGAGAGTAGGGATAAGTATACCGAGGATTGAGAGCGTCACTTCCACATTAACTTGAGTCACTTTGCAGTTGCAAGCTGACTTGGTTAGGTATTAAGTACGTGGCGTTGTTGAACTTCATCTCCCGTGTTCTACTTGTACGCGCAGCGGAGCGGTCGAAATAAATGTTACGGAACTAACCTACAGTAATGAAATCGGTGTAATTTCACGTGTCCAAAAGCAAGTGCACGGTCACAAATCCTAACCCCTACAACGTCGACAAGAGTCTTGGGAGATCTTTTTGCCCACGTTTATCGCCTGGAGGTGCAACATCGCCCGTATACAAGAAAACCGCGGTGCAACGCCATATTGCTTTTCTTGCGCTCTCTCTCTCTCTCTCTTGTGCGTGCGCAACCCAACGTACGGGTGCCTGCCTGCCTGCCTACTTGAGTGCCTGCTCTCTCAACGAAACTTGCATAGCCTAGCCTCCGCCGCAGCCAGGCGAGACGCAACGTAGTGTGGGCGCGTTTAAACCAAGTAAACTAGCGACAGCTTCCCCAAGGATCCTCAATTGCAGCCATGGCCGATAATCAGGTGAGTGTATTCGCTTCCTCTTGGTTTTCGTCGCCTGCGAGTGGGAGCTCCGGGGAAGAGCCCGCGCGTGCCGCCCGGCTTCCCTCGCGCGCGACGCACACGCACGCACGCACGATTTACACTAACCTGTGCGCTGGATGCTCCGTAGGAACAGAAGGTGGATTCAGGAACCGGAGACGCCAACTCAGAGTACATCAAACTCAAAGTCGTCGGAAATGTGAGTCTATAGGGCTGCGGATATACCCAGCTCTTTTTCTTTATCTCTCTCTCGCACTCGCTCATGTATTCCTTGCCGCCTTTCCCCCTCCCGCGTTGTTTAGCTCACCTTACCCTGCTTCCATGTTTTTTTTTTTTTCGCCGATTGCACTTCCTCGTCGTCGTCTCGGCTTGCACCTGGCCACCTGCCTCTCGGATGAACTGTTTCATCCGATGCTTTCCCGTGATTCCTTCGCGTCAATCCTAGTTTTTTCTTCCCCTCCTGGAAATTTAATTCTAGTGTACCTCATCTCATTTACTGTTTTCTCTGTTGCAACCCTCAGGACAGCAACGAAATCCATTTCAGGGTGAAAATGACGACGCAGATGGGAAAACTAAAAAAATCATACAGTGATCGTGTGGTAAGTACAATAACATACTCTTAAAATCTTCACACTCCTAATCACTGCAGTTGTGTCTCGCCTCCACGTGCATGTTCAGTAATTGTCTGAACGCCTCCAGCCTTTTTTTATTTCGACTCGAGGTCCATCGATAGAACTTGGTGTCTGAGGTCGTCGATAAACGCATGCCCGTTACTGAATTAGCACGATGCACTTTTTGAGTTCAGAATTGGCTTCCAAAGAAGTTAATGAAACAGAGACTAGCAGTGTCATTGTGAATCTTAAGTCTATCATTCTAAATTTTTTCGTATTTTTTGTTTCAGGGTGTTCCAATGACGTCTCTCAGGTTTCTCTTTGATGGCAAAAGAATTAACGACGACGAAACGCCAAAGCAGGTAAGCGTCTCACTTGTACCTTTAGATTAATTGTGAATGTCTCCAATATTTTAAACTACCCAACACATCTATATAGTTGTAAAAAGTGCATGAATCAAGTTTCCAAACAATGGAAGCTATTTTAACACTATTCATCCCTTCAAATTAATGACTTCCACGTTATCACATTACTTAAATTTCCTATGAATACCTTCTTTATAATTCTATAAAATTAGTATTATGATGTTGTAAAAAAGGCATGAGAAATCCTAATAGTTTTCATTTCACATGCAACTAATCTAAAATTTGGCAAGCTGATATATGAATTGTACGATAGTCTTAAAAGACTGCAATAAGCTTCATTATTAACATTGAAAAGTTACAATAAATTGTAATTCTTTTGTAATTAACATGTATGCTTACATTTATTTTATGACAATTAACAATTTGAAAAATCGAAATCCACGTGACCAATGAAATTAGTTTAATTAAATACATAACTTACAGTTAACTCGAAACATTTGATTCCAAAAATTATTTATATCCATTTTAATCGTTGACTTATTTATTTATCTAAGAGCATTGTTGATAGGTACCTATAAAATTTTAGGATATATTTTTATAACTCCAGTAGGTCAGTTTTTTGCATTAATATCTATTGTGAGAACAAATGAATTCCGAATTTTTAGTGTGTTGTACATATTTTTACACATCTTTTTCGACTCTCACGTCGTCGTCGTCGTCATCTTGCTTTTATGTAATGTACTGTTGAAATAAAGTTTGTCAAATAAATTAAATTAACGTCCTATATACTTTAAATTTTAATGACAATTATTAGAGTCAGTAGTAAATGTATGTAGAGGAAGCTTGTAAGATCCACCTAAACCACAATCTGGCTAATTAGTGACAAGAGCTTTTATACTTCTTTAACACTTCAAAGGGGTGTGTTATTCGAAATCTTAATACTTTATTCTATGTAGAGCAAAAACGTAATCTTTTCTCTTCAAAATGACACGTATACACCCCGCGTGAAAAAAACCACTGGTCTCATGTCAGTTATCCACAACTTTGCTCAAAAGATACGTTAGTTCTGGAACATTCTTTACTTGTGCTCCCTAGATGTAATATATTATTACAATGTATAATTAAATAATGGCAGTGCCATAATCTTTGTATGTTCATATTGTCTGTTCACAACACTAATCTAAAATAAGGTATGTGGTGTATACTATGCCGAAGCTCATTATCCCTCTTAAATTTATCTGCTAAATCAGACCGTGATCACTAGTAAACAATCAATTACCGATATACTCATATGTAACATGCTTCAAATATAAGGAAACTAATTAAATATCATATAAATTCGCTTGTTTTTACTTCAGTGGTTGATAAAATCATGTAACTTCAGTAAATTCTACTACTTAAAAGTTTTTAAATTTCTAATGACCCAAAGCCACCATGTCTCAAGTATTGAATTTGCCTTTTATCATTGAAATAATTATTTCTTGAACTAATTTCTGCCATAACTTGATTTTCTGTTGGCGGCAGTGGTGGTGGTACTGCATACCTTTGTAGTTTATTGAACAAAATCAGTGTGGTTCTGTAATAGTGTCGTCCAAATTGCTTAACATTACTTACCTACGTATCTCTAAATTTCCATTTTGTTTTTGTTTTTTCAAGTTGGAGATGGAAAACGACGATGTAATTGAAGTATATCAAGAACAAACGGGAGGAAAACATCATTGAGAGTGTTTAAAGTTCCGACAGAAGCCATGTTTCTTGATCCTATTTTTTACTCTGTGTAAGTGGCTGATACAAAAAAGTGAAAAAAAATCGTCATATACGACGTATTAACAACCTAATAATAGTTTGATTTTTATCTTAAGTAATTATGATCCATTTGTATACGATGGGAATGTAAAACACTATAACCAGATTATTAAGATGGAGTAAGTAATTATGATCCATTTGTATACAATGGGAATGTTGAACACCACATCCAAATTATTATTTCACACACATTCATCCATAATTATGAAAAGGAAAAAAGAAAAAAAAATTATATAAAATGAAAAAAAAAGAAAAAAAAGAACTGAATTTTTATTTAGAAAAATTTTAATTTCTTTCCACCAACATGCAGTTCTGTTTAATCTTCCTTTGATATTTCTACTTTGATGATTCTGCAGTATGTGTATTAAAAAAACTCTATTTGATACTTTATAAACTGTGCCACCATAGTACAGATATCAATGATAGATTAATATTTAAAATTAACACTGCGCATTTGTAGATTTAAGTTAACGAATTATTTCAAGACAATTCCTTTTAGTAATAAATCATTTGTTATGTTGTAAAAATATTAAACAGCGACCATTAATGATGCTAGTTTCAAAAAAAGTGTTGCATTCAAACAATAAAACGCAATTAACGAGAAAAGTCTTTTCTTTTATGTACATGAAAATTTTAATCATGCGATTAATTACGTATTCTTTACTGGCGTAATGTTATCACTCGATGTTTAAATTTTCATTCAGAAAACGTTACGAACTTGATATTAATTTTTTTAACATTTACGTTTTTGTCCAGATTGCATAAAAAAATTATCTATAAGATTTCAAAAGTACCCGTATTAAAATTGTACAGAAATTTATTGGTTACAACTATGCTTGCTGTTTATATTCATTATCATGTAACTGTTCAGTACCAAAGTTCTAACAATCACTCGTTTGTATGAATTGGAAATTTTTTTAAAAGTATTTAAGTGCAAGCTATCTTAAGTTCACTATGTATTACTCTTTATTAAAAAAGAAGAAAAAAAAAAAAAAAAAAAAAAAAAAAAAAAAAAAAAAAATAAATACTGGACAAAACCATTTTATATTATTCATTTTGTAGTCCATTTTCTTATATTTTAAAAATTTGTTCATTAAGTACACTTGACTACAAACACCACAGATTTATTTGCTCACTTTTATCCATGAATCTTCAAGTTCATACATTTTGTAATATTTACTTGAAATTTAAATGTAGAAGCTAAGAACTTCACATCTTTAAGACGACCTAATAAGACGGTCATGTGTAACTCATTAAAAATTTGAGTTCATAATAAATAAATTACGAGTTTTGGTACAATAGCGTTTTATTTATATATTTTGAAGTTTTAAAACACATTTTTATTTTATTGTTCAATTATTATCATTAAATGATTTAGTACATCTATTATAAACTTTTTACTCATAAAATATGATATTCTTAGACAAAAACATTTCTAATTGAAAAAAAAAAAATTAAATTTCAAGAAAACTAAGTTATGTACAAGTTGATTATTTGCAAATGACCTCAATGCACATACCAAGGTTTTTGCGTCTATACATATTTACAATCTTGAATTCATAGTCTTCACTAACTTTCATCACACAAGAATAAAGAGTGCATCGTTTACTATTGAGTTTTTTTAATTAGAAAAACAACTCGTGTACAGCACGGATTTCTTTGTTTCTTACAAGGTGGTTCTAAATCTAAAAATCATACGCGTGCACAGCCCATTTCACATTTTTCTTCTGCAGTGGTTATTCCTTCCCGTATTCTTAAAAATTTATATTTATTTTTGAAAAAAATCACACGGAATATTATTTTATAATCATAAAATTAACGTCATTGACGTTTTGCTAATTAAAAATACTAATATAAACTAACGAATGAAATTTGATATAAACTGTTTCATTGAAACATGTTATTTTTAAAGAATCAAAAAAAGAAATACGTGATATTCTACTAAACAATACTTATGTTTGACATTTATTTTTTCAAGAGTATTATATACTGCAGGCTCAAGGTTTTAAACATTTTATAGTTCATGATCTAGCGTGCTTGCAAGATCAATTTAAGAGACACCAGTCTGCTTCTTTCAGTACTTAGTATGGTAGCGCCTTTTTTTTAATTTAATTTTTTTTTTCTTTTTAATTACAAACATTGCATTGTACATGTGTGTACCAAAAGTGCCTGGTTAGTTTACGTATTTACTATGAATTGAAAAAGTATTTAAATATACTGATACAAAGCTTTCAAACTCCCTCGAAACAAAAACAAACAAAAAATACAAGATTATTAATCAAAAAAGAAGAAAAAAAACCTGCCGTACATTGAACTTTGCAATTTAATCGTCAAGTAATGCGATGTAAATACCGCAATGAAAGTTAACAACCTGAGGTCTCTAATAGAACCAGTATTAGTAAACATCGCAAATTTTTGCTAGACATGGTTTTGAAAGCCAGTCACTGTAAGAATTTCGTCGTAGTTAATACTTTCAATAATTAATTATTTAAGCCTATAATTGTTTACGTCACTTATTATTTTGCCTCGAAATAAATATAGTTATCTAGATTCCGCCAGATAGTTTTACTATATAATTTTTTTTTTTTTTTTTTTTTTTTCATCAAGCGTTGTAAAGGAGGTGAGGCTTCGACGACGACGGCCTATAAGTTGGTGGCTCTAACTTAAACTATTTATACGTCGGATGGATACGTCCTGTTTTCGTTGTAAAGAGGTCACAGCGCGTCGCGATGCCAGACCCATGTTTTCTTCGTATGATCAAACCTATGGGCCAACCACTGCTGCTCCAGCAACTGATATCTGTCCTGACTCAGGTACAGAGGTTTTCCACGCCTGAAAACACACAAATAGTTGTTGAAAAAATAACAAAAAAAAATTAACATCACGGAAAATTTAAGAAAAAATTACTGACTTTAAATCTCTATCTTCTTCCTCAAAGTCATCAAGGTACAAGGATCCCCATAAACAAGCCCTTCTGCCGCGAATAACGATCACGTAAGTCGAAGTGACAACGAGGAATATACCTGTTCCACCGCCACAGTCGATTGAATGCTGTAAATTTCAAAGGTTAGATTTTCAGTGTTGTCAGGGTAAAAAAAGATTACACTTTTGTTACACCCATAAATAATCCTTACCTGTACAGCTTCGCAAACATTTGTCTGTTTGCAGCAGTTCTGTTTGAGACAAACAATCGTACCGCACAATAAACAAACGCTTATCTCTTGGGGCACAGAGTGACATTGGCGGCACTGTCTCTCGTGATAGTGCTGCAAGTCACAAAATCATAAAGTAACAATTTCCATAGTACTAACATTACATTCTGCACATTTATCCTTACCGTGAATATCTTTTCATATTCCCTTGGAAGACTCAGTAGTTTTGGCATTTGCCACGAAACATGTTGGTTTCCAATCAAACTTCTAGCGGCAATCTCGGTATTATTGACGAAGGCAGACAACTGATCGAGCCAGAGCCGCGGCGCTGAAACAGATACCTCCTTGTTCGGCCAACTGAGAACCACAGCCGAGTTGAAGGAGTCAGAATCCATGCCGTCAGTCACCAGCTCCAAGTAATAAACGAGCCCCGTGAATTCCTGATCTGTTGAACGGATCGTTGGTATGGGCTGTTCGTACAAGTGATGACGGAGTAGTGCAGCCACTCGCAGAAAAGGCAAACACAAATTTCGAATCTAGCATCGGAGCAAAAATTGAGACATTAGCTTTGTATACTGGGATCCGTAGTTATTATGAGGCATCGTTATTTACCAGCTGTTCTATCATTTGACTTCTTATCCTAGCGTAATTAATCGATGACGCGGGTATATCGTCATTATTGTAAAGCTTACTATCACGAAAGTAAGCGATCACAGACCTCAGGACAGTTTCGGACGTAATCGGGCTCGAACTGTCGCTTAAAATTCCTCGACCAATAACTGCATTCCTCTGGGCTTGAGTCAATTCACAGCTGACTTGAATTACGATTTGGTAGTACAACAAATTATACATGACTTTAACCACCATAGAGAAATAAGCTAAAACAAATTAATGAGTTTTATTATGACATTTGTAAAAAAAAAATAAATTAAAAAAATAATAATAATAATAATAATAATCAAAGTTCATTTTATTGACATGAGTACCCGATTGTTGGCTTACTTTGATCGAGGTGAAGAGGAAGTAGGAGTATGAATTGAATTAACAAAGCCGTGGGATCTCGCAGGAGGAACGGAACTTCTTTCTCGAGAGGAACAATGTCCCGCGCATTTTGTGGAAGAGGATCCACAGGCAGCCCTGACAGTTGCTGCCACTGACGATCGATGTCCCAATGCGCCAATACTCTCGCATGTACCGACAGTACATGCAGCAGTGCAACTGAAAATATATATTTTTAATTTTATTTAAACGCATAACTTTTTCTACAGATACACATGTGCAAATAAACAAATGATCACCGATGCAACCGCGCTTTGGTAAAAGAGGGACGGCCATGTGCGGTGAAACAGATGAAAGCGAGCCTCCACGCTGCACAAGCTCGATTTCGAGATTGGTGCGCGCTACCGAAGTTACGAAGAGAAATAGACTTTGATGACTAGGGTTCCAGTTCTTTTGCTTGTACTTCATGTACGTCGAGCTCGTCAGGTCCTCCATCGCTTTGCCGAGGGCGGCGGTGAGGTTCGAAGAGATCTGAAATAAATTCTTGTTTTGCGAATATCCTCATTAAACGGAGCAAGTAATTATTTCCGTGGTGGTTGCACGATGATTATCCGCGCATGAATCGTGCATGTATAACATAATACACACTGACGTGGAATTATCGTTATTTACTTACGGGACTGGCCCGCGTCTCTCGTAGCAGATTGGTGAGGTCCGAGAGTATCGTTTCGGCGGACGAGTGGCGAGAGCGCACCACCGCCGAGCATTCGCCCAGCTGTGGGGACAGCGGTAGAACCGAGTTGGCCAGTTGCCTGCAGAGGGGACAATTATACTCGCCCCTGTCGACGTCGAGATTCTGTTGTCTCTGCGAGCCCCGGAGCGAAGTTAGATACGATCTCAGGCAGTCGAGGTGCAGGTGGTGGCCGCACGTTTGCACGTGCACGCCACCTTCCCAGCCGAGGTTGACCGATATCATCCAAGAAAGCTGTTTGGGGAACAACCAGTCAACACGTGTTTTACAACTTGTACAAATTACAATGTCGATCGAAGCGTCAGACTTACCGGATCAAACCACCTATTCATTTCGTCTATTCTGAGATCGAAATGAGCTGCACGGGTGTCTTCTTTCGGATACCGGGTTGGTGGATCGTCATCTGACGTAGGCAGCACAAGGCGCTCCGAGTGCTTACGCTCGTGCCCCGTCACGCTGGTGGACTATTTTTTTAGTTTTTAAGAATATAATTAATAAACATTTTGGGATAAGAAGCAAAAGATCTAATAATATTCTGCAGCAACTACCTGAATTAAGACCACCAGGCCCATCGGAACTTCCTCCGTGCTGGGTGTGGTTTGATTACAAATGACGCAGTCGTACTCCTTCTTGCTCTCTATCTTCGCTTGTCCCTCGTCCGCGTCCCAATCCATGTTGGACACGCCGGCTCCGTCTGCAAGTGAACGACATTTTTAAGTTCAGCACGCTGCACCAAGCAAACGAACAAACTAATAAAAAAACTAACCAGACTCCATGGCTTTTTCCATAAACTGCTTCTGTTTGTTCGCAAACTCGGCCATAAGCTTCTGCTGCCTCTCACGCGCCCGTCTACGTCTCTCCTCGCGTTCGCGGTTCTCACGCTCCCGCTGTTCATCCTCGCACTCTTGCATGCGGGGCCAGTGCCGGTTGCGCGTCTCGACGATGGCTTCGCGGCACATGGGATCCAAACTGGCGATCCTGTTGAGCAGCTGGCCAATGAAGAAGGGACCGTCACCGATCCGGGACTCGGAGGCAGCTTCTGGACTCGAGGTGTCCATGCTACTACTACCCGCTTCGGCCTCCGACGCCAAAAACGCCTCCGGAGGCGTGTAACTGTCCGGGGCACCCGACAACTGCGAGTGCAGCTTCAGCAGCAGGGATATTATGCTCTCGTTGACTCGCACCATCTGAGGCTGCACGGACCCCGTCTGCTTACAAATTGACAAGTGACGTAACGCATAAACATGTACCAAGTGCAGATGACGCGATAAAGCGTCGAGTGTCTTACCTGAGGATCCCTCCGGCGCAGCTGTTTGTGACAATTTGACGACGTCGACGGAACGATTTCATTGGAAATCGAGACGGCGTTGTTACGCCTGGCAGCGTTTACGGATACCATCTCGTTACCGGCCATCACGGCAGGACGTAGGATCGTTGGCGGCAGAGCGGGCTGACTGTTGTTTATTACTTCGGCTTGAATGATAAAATGGTCCATGCGAATCAAATGAACGACGCGGGCTGATGAAGTGCTCATCGTATGCATGATTTTTTTGAGATGCGATAGTAAATAAATAAATAAATTAAAAAATAAGATCGATTTGTATTTAGTCCATATACCAAGAACGCATTGTTAGAGAACAAGGTGGAGAGAGAGAGAGAGAGAGAGAGAGAGAGAAAAAATACATGAGACTACAGCAATTGATGATAAATTTTAGTGTGAATGCACCATATTGTGATGATTAATAACTGATCAGTGGTTGACAACGTACTGTTCAATGAAGGACGTGATTCGAGGGCAAATATCGTGGAATCTTCGGTGGACGGCGGCAACGCTCTTGGCGGCGGTAATCTTTCGTCTTCGCTATCCCCGCGCGGGATGGCGACTACCCCGTCTTCGGCTACATAACTGATATCATACTCGACTACCAAACACCAGGGAAAAAACAAAGAAAAAAAACCAACATAGAAACATGACGGTCAAACACAAAGGGTCTCGTGTGACCCGCCGAGCACAGTAATTTATTGTATACAAACAAGAATCATTATTACCAAGACACGTAAGTACAAGACTAAATACATGGGGTTTCTTCTTTTTTTTTTCTCAATAAAGGGTAAATTAAAATAGCAACAAAGAAGCCTACAATATAGGTGTGCCGGAGGAAGACGTGTACACATACCGTTTTCAGAGGCGGTAAGAGCCGGCAGAGAAGCAGCGCTCATGCTGACGTCGTCGGACACGTTGCTCTCCATGGACGCGGGAAGAGCCAGCACGCCGACGGCACCCTCGTCGGCGCTGTCGTTCAGCATCGCTACCTCGGGCATCAAACCCTCCCACTCGAGTTCGCCTTCGAAGGAGGAGGAAAACAAAAAAGAAAATACATCATAAGCAACGAAACTTCCAGAAGTAGACAATCATCAACGAACAAAAGCCATCATTACTATCGGAACTGCTGTGATCGGGCTCCCGAACCAGGACGACTCGGGGTATGACGGTCCGTAGATTTTCGGACAGGTTGTTGCTGTTGAACCAGCCCGTGAGATCCATGTCCTTGAACACGCGCTGCGAGCCTCCGCTGTTGTACTGGCACAGTGGGTGGGTCTGAAAACACACAAACATCGTCATCGTCATTATGTTAGGTTCGAGAAATGTATCCTGCAGTAGTACTCACGGAATTGTCGGGCAACTCGGCGGTAACGACAGCCATCTCGAGCAGGTAGACTGCCAGGGCCATCACGTGCTCGGATATGTTTTGGCCATTGACCGCCTTGTAGAGTATGACGAAGATCATGGCGTGGAAGACTTTCGAGCGTAACACGAGTCGAGGGTCGTCGTAGTCGGCCGAGACCGGGGCTGGGTGCCGGAACGGCGGCCAAGGGGCCGCGTTGGACTTTAGTTTTCCGGACTGCTTCACGCTGGAAAAGAAAGGAGAAAAAAATAAAATAAATAAATAAATAATAGACGGTACAAGGGAATCCAAGGGGGAAGGGCAAAAGAGGAGAAAACAAAAAAAAAGGAAATAAGTGCTCACTAGGTGGTGAAGCGGTCCATCGAGACTTGAAAGTCCTTGCGCTGGACGGCACGGAGGAGCACGTGCAGGGGATTGAAGAGCTCATCCCAGACACGGGGTTTCGGTCCGTACATGCCCTGTTGCATGTTGCCACTGGCCTCGAGGTTGGGGGCGCGGTAGTGGGCTACCTCCTTGAGCACAGAGTCAAAGTCCCGATTTTGGGTCGTGCCGCAACGCTCGGGCATCAGCTCCATGAGTTGGCTATGCGTCTTGTCGCCCATACACAACAGCGTCACCATTTCCAGGCACGACATCTCGGCGTCGGAGAGACCTGTCATTGGGTTTGTTTTGTTTTTATTTTTTTACTAAATGCTAATTAAATTGAGTGGACTGTGTTTTTTTTTTTTTTTTTTGCTTTCTGTAGTTGGAAATTATTAGTAAAAAAAAAAGACAGGGAAAACGGAAAAATTACCCAAATTGGTCCGCACGTTGACCAAGGTAGCGAGGAAGGTCAGACAACTCTCGAGCATCGAGAGGTCGTGCTCGCCCTCGAGGTACTCGTTTTGCGGGGCGTGGTAGCGACTCAGGCTCATCCATTCCTTGACATGAAACCTAATTTTTTTTGAAGAAGAAGAGATGATTATTTGGGATTACGTACAAACCTACTAGGACAAGAGGAGTAAAAAAAAAAAGTTCTCACTTGTCGATAATCGTTGAGAGAAAGACGTCGGGCTGTAGCTTCGTGGCGCATATCTGGAGGAGGTAGAGATCGGCGTCAACCATGGAGTTGCAAAAGTTACACTGGATGTAGGTCATGGCTTGGCCCCGGATTTGCAAGCCATTGCGGACCCAGAGGTTGTTCAGGATCTCGTAGAACGCCACCTGGAAACGTTGATTGGAGGGTTTTTTTTTGTGAACTTTTGAGCTTATCTTGCACGGGAAATGACATAGAAACTTTGAGAATGACCGATTAATGCAGGGGATGTATTGTCATTGAGTTATTTTCCGGTCGATGTTGTAATGTGGTATGCGCTTGGATTGATACGAAATACTCGAATGACAATGATGAGTTATTGTGTATAGGTACTGGTACAAAATTACATCAACCACACTGCACGAAAATTTGAGCGAAAAAACAATGTAGGACAAAACCGAGGCAATGTCATTGCAAAGCGTTTCGTTTCAAGTAAAACTTTATAGGTAAAATGTATTGCACGTATCTGTCGGAAAAAAACATAAGTATTCTCGGCGTTGCACTGTGATTAGTGATAAGCTACAAAAATTTGTTTTTCAGCAAAAAGCATGCACTTGAATCAGGAAAAAATAAAATCAATGGAATGGAAGAGAATAGATATTAAATTCCAGGGGACAGCGTGTATATAAGTAATACGCTGGAAAAACACCATGTGATGGTACTCGTTCGAATGACAAGTGGGGCTCGGAATGTTTCAAATAACTGTACGAGGAATCAATTGTTTCAACGTTAAAAGAAATAAATTGTAAGTGAAGCTTACAACTTCTTGGGTACTTTTGGAACACGGATTTCAGCTTTTTTTTTTTTTTGTTCTGCAATCGTGAGTGCAAAAATACCTGTTGTTATCGTCATTGTTTCACCTATACTCGACGGGAAATAAAAAAAAAAAAAAAAAAAAAACCTGTCGATGTTGCAATTTCACGTGCGATTTCGTTGAATGGAAAGTCTTGAGGAAAACGCACATGCCAGCCCAGTGACCACAACGATTTTTTTTTCCTTCGACACCTTGACCTTGAACTCATCAAACCACGCATTTCCAAATTTTGCGCTCAACCTTGTAGATCGGTACAAATGAGCAAGCAGGTCTTTGTCATAGAGTTTAGTATGAATAAAGCGTTTGGGTGATTGACGGGTTTGAAAATATCATGCCTGTGCAGTTACATTGCAGAAAATGACGTACCTATACGTACACGCGCTCAAAAAAGATGAGTAAACTCGATAAATTAAAACGATTGGGTTATTTATAAATACCCTCCTACAACTTGAAAAATCGTTCCGTACCAGGTGTCAAAGTGTAATAAATAAAGAATCCCGTGAACCGAATTGACGCGCTAATCGATCAACGAGAGCCAAAAGGCGTACACAATATAATATGTACACATATGATGAATAATAATTTACCGATCGATCAGCGTTGTCCAACTTTAATATCGAGACATCATCGTGCCCCCGGTCGTATGACACCGCGGCGTGTTGTTTTGCATAAATCGTGCGATACACCCACGCGGAGCGTATTTTGGAAACTCGAAGCGATCTTTCTATGGTGTACATCGGTACATCCCATACATAAATGTATAGCGAGAAAGGACATCGATGTATTTTACATAATGGGCTTTCCTATTGATGTTAGTCGCGCAATGGCTCAATAAACCAAGAGCTCGCGTGGAAAGTTTTATTGCAACCGAGAGCGTGACGAAAAGCCGTACGTAAACACGAGAGGACCGGCTTTTCGTGGGACCACCTGTGCAAAGTACGTTCATTTTTTGTTTGGTTGTTTGGTTTTTACGATTACAAATAATGCATCGTTGCAAGGGATGTGACAAATAACGTTGCACCGGGCGTCTCTTGTGCTCATTCGTATCCTCGATCAATGACCCCCTTCGGGCCAAAACGCACGATAAAACATCAGAGTCAAAACAATCTTCTCTCTCTCTTTCTCGAAGCGCACCATTGAATCTGTCGCGTGGACTGAAACCCCCCCCCCCCATCCATAAAGAATGGGGGGCTATACGTAAAAGTACTTGAGACGCGCAGCATCATCACCAGCCCAAGAGCATATAGGTACAACGTCTGATGCATCAGACAAAGGCGTAGACTTGCACGCGGAGAGCACGAGAGAGAAGAGAAGAGAAGGGCGACGCGCAGCCATCATCGCGACGTTTCCTCTCGGGCGCGAGCCGCAGTCGACGCTCGACCCCGGAGCGCAGAGTATCCTGTCCCCGCCCCGCCCAAGTTATCCTCCTTTGTTTTCCAGTGCCCACCCACACGGAGAAGGTTGCGTTTAAAGATCCCTCCCATCCCCGTGCACATATATAGGTAAGCATGTCGCCGAGGTGGCTACTGGCACCGATAATCGGCTGGCTGGTGCTGGGTACCGAGGCGTTCGACGTGTCCCTGGGCGACGTGACGGAGGTGCTCAAGTTCAGCCGCGAGCTCGTGACCGACGCCCTAGAGTCGTACCAGCTGGTGAAGCCCAAGGAGCCGGGCTCGAGCGGGGCCGGCGACACCTTTCCCTTCGTCAAGATGATGGAGAAGCGGCTGATGTCGCGCATAAGCCAGGTGTCACGGGTCATCGAGGCGCACGAGTCGCGGGAGCAACAACGCACGGACTTGGTCCTCGACGCCATACTGGAGCGCGTGCCCGAGCGCGAGCAGCTCGAAAAAGCCATGCACGACCTGTGGAAGTACCTGGGCCAGGTCGAGAACACGTATCAGAGCTTCGTTAGGTACGCGGGGGCCCGGCAAAGGTACGAGCAGTACACCATGGAGGAGTTCGCGAGGAACGCGGTCAGCTCGGGCTTGAACGCCCTGCCCGACGTACTCAAGATGATACACCGGCTCGTCGTGCCCCCGGCCAAGTGGGAGGAGGACGTGTTTCACAGGAGCGTGCTCACGCTACTCGCGAGGAATATGCAGGTAACACACGCCACGCGTCTTTCAACAAACGATTCAAATCCCCCCCGAGAGGCTTTTACGTTCGATCGACCTGTATATTATATACGTAATGAAGATACATTGTATACTTGTTGGGTTGTTTGCACTTTTCTTTCCCCTTTTGCCCCGTGTATGGAGTGTTCGATCAACTGCTCTGGCTTCGTTATCTGCATCGTTGCGACAGACTTGGTACTACGATCTGTGCTTTTTGTACATTTATTTCATTTTTCTTTTTTTTTTCTGTTTTTTTTTTTCTCTCACCGGCTTATCACTTAATCGCGCACGTGAATAACAAGAATACAATATGTAGTCTTTACTTTACAATCTTTGGGTGCAAAGTTTCGTCGTCACGTCATGGTTTGAAAGATCAATGGATATACTTTCTCTCGTCCTTGTTTGGATACGCAGGATCAATCGCTTATGCTTGTGTTTGCTTGCCGATCTCGAGAGATTATAGAAAGTATCGTTCGTTATGCATGATATTATAACATTATGTAGGTGAACGAGTGCGTTGATATGTATAATATATGCACAGGTATATTTTTTATTAAGCGTAAGTATCGAGGAGAAGGACGTCTACGTCGATATGGTACACCGTTGGTATATTACGTGAGATTTTGTTATTGTCCGTTTCCCCTTGTCTGTACATCTATACCTACTGTCACTTGACTGTATAGGTATATATCTTTCAACGAAAAGACATGCTGTGTATTATTTATGGTATACCTATATACTCTCGTACCGATTTCCCCCGTCTGCGTCATGGGACAAGGCTCGCATCCGGTTTTACTTGAACCATACTTGAATATAATTATATATTTGTGTTTAACTGTACTACATCGAGTATAGTAACATTCACGTGCAGTTGAAAAAGTATTCGAGAAAAAGAGATAAAATAAGGTCTCAACAAGATATAGATCGGTTCGGTGCTGCTTCGAATTCTTTCTTTCTTGCTTTTTCGTTTCCAACCCCATATACTTACTTACAGTTGTGATTCATCCACAAATTATGGTAAGACTGAGCACGTGCCAATAGACGAGTCGGCGCGGGGCAGTGGTGGTGGTAGGACACAATTATAATTCAACAGACAATATAACGCAAGTAACGGAGGTTTCGGACGATTTTAATTCTCAAGTACCTCGAATGACCCGCAACGTCCACCGCCCTGACATCGATGCGTGTGCTTTTATGTATATGTTTTTTTTTTCTTCTAATAAATACATATGTAAGACCACGCATTGGAGGACGAAAATTGACCCTGAGCTGTTGCTCGATAACAATCAAGTGTCCCCCCTTTCAATCTTTCAATCGGCGCGAGCTTATCATCGTCTCTTTATAATCCATTACGTACCGGTCACGACCGATTTTCCAAGATTCCATACGGTTTCTCGGTGCGGAGAGCATAATCAACTCTCGTCCGCGGAAATGACTCTCATTGACATTCGTAGACAATATACATTGCACTCACTATCGCGACGATTGTATTTTATACCGTATTACCGAGATAAAACGATCGAGTCGAGAGGCTGAGCGTATTGTGTTTGTTACGGCGATTGCATCCGATCTCGCGTATCACGATAATGTTATGTTCCTTGTTTTGTGGAAGGACGCGCTTTTTTTTTTTTTTTTTTTCTTATGATATATTTATAAGGACGCTAAAACAGAGTATAGGTACCACGTGTGCACTTATACGTAATGAAGCTCATCGAGACAAACAAAAAAGTTGCATGAAATTTCGATCAAAGATACGTCGTAATTACCGAGGTACAATAGTTAGTATGGGAGCTACGAAAAGATACTTGAGCTACAATTTTTTCGAGCGTCGATTACATATTATACGGAGAAGAAGGAAAAATACGCGAAGCCGAACTTTTTAACACGCAGGTAGGGGTAATCAGTGCTTTGAGTGTCTCATTTCCCTGGAGGTATCTACAACATGTGTCATTATTTCCGCATGTAATCGTCGTCTCTTTGTTTGTTTGTTTGTTTTTTTTTTTTTTTTTCACTATACGATTGTACGTACAGATACACGTTCGGCTCGTATTATGCAACACATGTGCTCGAGCCATCGCTCGCTGAATCGAGTTTTCGTATTTTCTCTCCGTTGAAGTTCATCAGACGATCAATTTTCACAAAAAATATACTCAGATAAAAGGCAGCATTGCGCGTAGAATCTGCACGATACATACAACAGCATCCTATATCTTTGACCTCGTCTTTGACCCCGATGATGGTTTGGAGAGAACACTGCGGATGGGGCACGTACAGCTGTTCTCTCGGTGGACGTATCAATTTATCCGTGCAGATGATTATTGTATACGACCGTGTTAGGAGAAAAACGCGTGCTCTCTTACTCACGAGCGTACGAGTAGATACACCGAGAGCGAGACTTAAAGAAAAGAAATACCTAAGTATATGGGCACTCGGAAAGAATGAGGAATTTCTTTTATGAAGTGCCATATAATTAATGTGCCTCTCGAAAGAATGTGCCTTACGATAAGTACGTGATGTATAGACCAAATGAAAAATAAAACAAAGGTTTTTACTTGAAATGAGAACACGACGTCCCACGGGAGCTTAATCCTATACTATGCTTAGGTTTAGTGTAGCTTTACTCGTATACAACGTTAGTTTGGGTGATGGCTGTACACCATATTATTTTATCCGTTTCAAGTTGAGCTCTGGTAGAGTGTGAAAACAAGCGCCGATTCGGTCGACGTTTCCAATAACACCAGAAAGTTTGGTGTACTTTTGTGCCATCGAGTCGTACCTTCTTTTTTTCAGGGTGAAAATAAATGGTGCACCAAAGCTGAACTGCCCAGAGAAAGATCATATACCACCTAGCCATTGTTATCCACGATTTTTTCAACCCCAACATGCCCCGATGCAGTGCACAATTTTTTGTTTTTACCAAACGCACAACAGAAGTGACGGATGACGTCGTTTCGCTCCAACCGAGTAAAATTTACAATATTTGTTTACGTGGTGCAAATATGTGCATCGACTGATAGTGGCTGATGATAAAAGACGCGCTTTGTTCTCGGGATATCGGAGATGACGGTGATGCTGATGATGGCACTGCGACGCGTGATTATGATAACGTCACCGGATATTACGATCCGCGAGGCATCGAGTTGGCCGGAAGTTTTGACGATGCACCAAAGATATCGTTTGGATGAAACTTTGTCGTGTACTGACTATTTTTGATTCTCAATTTGCACGCGCCACCGCAGTGGATTTTGGATAGAAAGTTTCTCGACGGAGACAATTTTACCAAGGAGAGGAAGAACAAAAAAAAAAAAATGCGTGTACCTGGCAGACAAAGAATAGATACGTACCCAGAGTGTCTCGCGTGCGGATAGAGGAAAGAAAAAAAGGAATAAAGAACCGCAAAACATTCAGAGGACGACGAACGGGACATTCCGCGCTTGCACGCGTGCGAGTAAAAATAAGAGCTGATGATGCCGAATTGTAGTGTGTGGGTCTTGAAAATTTTAAAATCAACTGCACAGGCGGACGAATACAAGTAAGTATGTGTAACCGGATCTACGACGAGAATGTTTCCAACTTTGTTCCATAGGATACGAAGAGAAAGATTGACATTGGAAACGAGTGGTGTGGACGAAGTGAATTGCGGCACAAGAGGTGATGCAGAAAAAGTATGCAGCGGACGTTAGACCACGGATAATATAAAAAGAGGGTTGGCGAAAGGGGAGGAGGTGTAATCCGGGGTGGAAAGAGAACAAAACGGCCCATGAGCCCGCAAAATGGTTAGTAAAAAAAGTAATGCCTGTACCACTTTGTGCTTATGCGCGAGTACGAGCTGTTGGTACTAGTAAAACTGTAATTATATTATGTGGCGAGCGTTGGCATTGTGCGACTGTCATGTACAACATATAAACATACGTGCGTACATTCATATAAGAAACGTGCGCACAAAAGGTGCTGCTGCAGTTGAAAAAAAAAAAAAAAAAAAAGGCAACGGAGGACGACAACCAATGTATTCTGATATATTTTATGTGCAGAGAGAGAGAAAGCATTAAAAACACACGTAGGTAGTTTTATATATGCACACAGAGAGAGGTGCACGTACAACAACATCATCATCCTCATACACCTAACAGCATAGGTAGTGGAATTTCCAGTTTCCTCCAGCTGTGTCGCTCACGGCAACAGCTCTCTCTCTCTTCTCCGCCCGGAGCTCCGGAGGGAAAGAGAGCGAGCCTCACTCCCAGCTCCCAGCTCCCAGTAGTAGTCGGTCAGTCTTTCGCGCACCTTGCTCTCGTGCGCGCACTGTAGGCTCTTGTATACAAGTGGTACGGGTCAACGCGCCATTTTTTTCCTTCTGTACCCTTTTTCTTTTGCATACGTGGATTCGTATCCAACTACACGTATACAGTGTGCCTCCCCGCTCATAATTACAACAGATTTGGAGTTTTTGTTGTTTGTTGTCAGCCTGAAGTTGTGTACACTGATACTGCATCGCACAAGGGGAACGGACGCACGTGAAGAGGGTCCAAGGGACGGAGGAGAGGGTCGTTTCCTCATTCTGATCCCTCTCTGTTATTTGGGTTGTTATAAATTATAGGTAGGTAGGTGTGATAAATGTGTAGCCCTGCATCAGAGTGTGTGGGTATGAAACATTTGCCAGTCGATCGTTCCATTGTCGGTGTTGTTTTACGGCGACTCCGAAAAGTATACCTATACAGAGACGAAGAAGCAACGCACGAGAGTAAGTGCGTTTGGTTACTACTGGTTTTGTTGTTATTTTGTACCGGATATTTAACGACAGAAGCGTTCGATCGTTTTTGGAGCATGTGCTCGCGTTAGATGCATTACTCGTGATTACAGAGGGGGATGAGTAAAAAATACAATATTTACCTACAGGGTGCCGAGGAAGAGTCGATTTAGGAAAGGGGAAAATACTTGTACAGAGTAAATACGTTATGCGCGTTAAATTCTTGTGTCTCGTACGCACAGTGGTTTATGCTGTATGGAGGGTCCATTGTATAGAAAATACTGCCTGGAGGCCGTTGATCGCCAATTGAGCTTGAAAACTGCGAGCGCGAATCCCGTGTGTATGATAATTATATTACAAATTTGTACCACATATATTTCGGCCTTGGTGTGTTTTTCTTCCAGAGAACGTCTAATGAATCGCACTAACGCCAGGTCGACTCTGTCGAAAAATGCCATTACGAAAACTTTGCTCCAATTTTGCGTCTGTCAAGGTCTCGTTTTGAAATAAAATTTTGTTCTCCGCTAATTAACGAACGGTCAAACGATTATATACTAAAAGAGACATCGCGAACGCAAAGGTTAATATTGTTAAATTCTTAATAAAAAAATTTCATTCGCCCTACTTGTTGTCTCCGCAGTTTTTACACACACACACACACACCTGCAAAAGTGTCGGAGTATCGAACATCGCGAACACATCAGGCGCGCACCGGTAGAGTAATTGGATCAACAAAAAGGAGCGCACCAGCGATGTTTCGCTTCAAAATCGCAAACACTCGCATTCTTGTCTCTCGTATGTATACCTACCTACCAACATTTTCGTTTCCAAATGCAACGCCCCACATATTAACGAATAACATACTGTACCCCACGCGCGCGCGAAACCTCTCATCCTAGCAATTACACCCGTCAATTATCGGTCCCCCTCCCCGGGGGGGAGCGAGCCTTTGTCGTCGTTACGCAACGAGAAATATCCCGACAATGGAACGATGCTGCACACACAAACCTTTTGTTTCTTTCTTTCTTTTCCGACTCAACGCTGTGCAATAAAAAAAAATAGCGCACGTGTCTCTCCGTCTCTAGCGCAGTGAGCGTTTTATTGTTTGACACGTACTTGCAACAGAGAGACAGAGCACGACTTTCCGAGGCGCGATTTAAACAAAGTAAACCCTCTGCACCAAACAGGTGCCCACCTCGCGTAGACCAACTGAACCCATCGGCACGAGAGGATGGCTCTCGGCAACCTCCTCCTGCTACTAGCGGTAGGCGCGGCGGTTACCAGCTGCCAGGGCGCTAAGCGTCCCGAGGCCACGCAAATCGACAAGCTGCGCGACGCGGTCTTCGCTCTCGAGCCCCTCGACGGTTGGTTCTCGGGGCGGAACGACCCCGAATACCAACAGCGACACACCGACGAGCTGGTCCGCGTTTACCGCGACCTGGGGAACGAGATAGACCGACAGTTTTCTCACCTGGAAAAGAAACAACAGCAATTACCCCTGAACAGCCCGAACTGGGAGTGGGTGAACGCGCAGGCGGCCCTTGGCACCGTGGACGGTGTCTACCTGACCTTCCGGAATATGCTGCGCGACGCGGCCAATACGGGGAGCAAGCAGTGGCTCAAGTTCGCCAGGACCGTACTTGGACGCTCCGACGAAGCCGTGGCTCCGGCGCTCGAGAAAATCGCGCGGGCCATCGTGCAGGGCAACATCTTCGTTTCGGCCTACCAGGTGGGCGGATTGTTTTTTTTTCTCTCTCTCTCTCTCTCTCTCTCTCTCTCTTGGGTATCCGGCTCTCGAACGTAAAAGCCCCCTTTCCTCTCCGATGTGACGCATACACTTTTCACGAGTTTCCGACTAACGTGTGGTTTTTGAAAAAAAAACAGGAGGCCTCGCTGCAAATTTGCGACACCCAGCAGTCGCCGCAACAGCTGCTCTACAACCTTTACAACACGATCGCCCTCACGGAGGTCAAGGGCTACACGATGATGCAGTTCTCCTGGGCGCTGCTCAAACTGTACAACATCGGTGAGAGCTCGGGAGCCTATATGGTACCTTTTTTTTTTAAATGCGTTATACACGTGGCAATCAACTGTCCCCTGACTTGCAGGCAATTTTACCGAGGAGACGGAGCAGCTGAAGCAACAATACGCGATCCGGACGTCGGAGACCCTCAGGGCGATCAAGACGGCCATGGCGTTCGCGCCCCGGGAACTGTGGAAGTGCGATCCAAGCGTGCACAAGCGCGGTAAGTGAGACAAAACAAAACAAAAAAAAAAAGAAAAAAACCAAAACGCGAGGGTCTCACTGGTGGTTTGTGCCTTTACAGACGTGACGTACACCGAGCTGAAACAGCTGTTCCAGGGCTTCATTGTGAACGAGGTGGACCTCAACTCGCAGGGCACGTGCAAAGAGAATTGTGGCTACTACAGCTACTCAAAGGTCTACGGGTGCTTCAAGAACAAGTTTTGCGCGAGACAGCGCCGCTGCAACGGCAAGATACTCAATTGCCAGTACGTCGACTCGGACATGTGGGTTTGTCCATCGGTAAGTGCCTGCAGCTCTCTCTCTCTCTCTCTCTAGGGTAGGTGAAAATGGGGTAACTTTGGGTTTTTCGCAGGCTAGGTACAGCGACAGGCGCTACGACAGTATAGAGTACGAAAACGGCGTCAAGTATGGGAGCGCGGACAAGTGCCTGAACCCGACCAAGGTCGACAGCTGGTGGCGCTGGATATTCTGGCACTGCAGCTACTGCATGTGCACCTGCGACGACCACAACGCCAATTCCGAACGGTACTTCAACCTGCGCGACGTTACCTCCGACGTTAGCAAAAACATGTGAGTCGAGTGTTGTTATACATAACGACTTTTGGGCGTAATATCTATTGAAAACAAAAACAAAATGTAATGACAGGGTGGTCACGGGAGTGCGGCTGAAGAAGGTCAACCAGGTCGTGCACATCCAGATCCAGGAGGGCCGGCTAATGCCGCACGGTAATATAGACGCGACGAGCGTGGTCTGGAAGCCCGTGGACAACTACACGATCGTCGACGCGGGTGTTAGGTCAGGGATTGACTATCACACCATCATGTGGGAGAAGCGAGCCGTTGATCTGGACGACCTGGACGCGCCGGAGGACCACCTGATGACGGGACTGAGGTTCAGACTCGTAGGTGCCCACTTGAATCTCGAGATACGCGTCACGCCGTTCAACTTCAGCACCGGCGAACTCGCCGGGGAGAAAAGCCTTTGGCACTCGCACGATGCCACGGAGGCCAGCGAGGTTTACGACTACAACGGCGAGACTAGGGTGACGACCAAGAGGTGGGTATACATTATTGTTGATTATCGTGCAACGGAATGAAGCTAAAGGGTGACTTTATTTTTTTATTGGCAGAACCGAGCTGAAGATCAACGATCCGGACATCCCGACGCGCTCGAGCGCCCAATCCGTGCCCGACTCCAAGAGCAACCAGTTTTTGTTATTCACGCCAACCGATTTGAAGAAGGACGTGGCGCAAAACACGGTGCCGTTCATCGACATTCAGCCGGTCGAGCCTAAGCCCCCAGTGCCCATAGCCGGCTGTGGAATCTTCCACAAAGGCCGCGAGGGTTACGGCGGCTTCCTCGCACTCAAGCTCATCACCTACAACTTCGAGCCGAAGCTGAGGTCCGACATGCCACCCGCGCCCCCGCTCATGGGCATGAGCAATGATGTCAACGCGATGTAAGAGAGTAGAAAGCTGTTTTGCCAAAGAGAAGAGGGGGAGAAGGGAGGGAACATGGAAGCCGGGATTTTTCGGTGCTCTCTATAGCGCTACCACTCCGCGATCATCGATTATTTCTGTTATTACTATTGTATCGCGGTTATCACTGAATTATTATATAATATGTCTCTTTTCTATTGAACGTGACGTGAGTTGAGATTTCGTTACTGTGAAATATATAGATGTATGTGCGCTCGATTGTACTGTGATTTTACTTTAAAAAAACAAAATAAACAAAAAAAAAAAAAACGACGCTGTAATGTATGTGCACAGTGCCACGTGCCACTTATGTTGGGACGGAAACATTATAAGTTACATTTGTATTGTATAAATAATAAAATTTTTATAATAGAAAAACAAATAAATCGCTCTCCTTTTCATTTTTTCCTTTCTCAGTCGCATGATGATTCTTGAATCAACAATGAAAAACATTACCGACACAAATGCCAAGAAAATGCCATAGTATTGACAAAACAGGTGGAAGCAAAGCTTTATATGACACGGAAGCAAGTTGACTAAGAGACAAAAGACGAGCGACATTCATATTTGTTTCTTACCTGAACGCGCAGCGGATGCATCATTAGCAGATGTAGCATGTCGGTGGGCGGGAGTAGCTTGTTCAGGGTCGCGCCTTGCTTGCGTACCGCTTGGCACAAAAATACCGCAAAGTACCGATGAAGCGGCAAATGGAACGACACTTGGAGACTGTCACTCTGTGAACAATCGTTTCTCATGTTATTTATCGTACTTATGTTAATTGGTATAAAAAATAAATAGTGGTTTTATGAAAATTGTGATTGTCTTTGAGATGTGTAACAAACCATCGAATTTATGAAAAATTTTTTCAAACGAGCCAGTTCACTGGGAACAGTTAGTCAAACTATACAACTATACTTACAACCATTTGTATTAATATTTTTTTTTTTTTTTTTTTTTTTTTTTTTTTTTTTTTTTTTTTTTTTTTTTCAAATTTGCTTAACTTAGTAGCAAGAATAGTGTCACTATACGATAACACAACGATTCATTGTTTATCAATTGCTGTTTTGTCTATATTTAAAGCATACACAAGAGTAATAATGTATATTTTGAATACAGTAATTTGAAAAAATTTAATTAATAAAAAAACTCTTAACATACCACGTTTGGATGAGTGTAGTTGACGGCATCCAACCAGTCTTGCAATGCTGTGAGACAACAATTCAAAACACGACGACTTAGAGAAACACTTTCCGGCCCTTTTAGATGCGACACAAGTGCCCACATTGGATAAGCACTTGCCTCCAACTCGGCACTAAACGCAGCGTAATACGTGTTGGGCTCGAATTCGACGTGCTCGGTTAATTCTCTTTGATTAACGTTCATCCCTAAAAAATAAAGAAACAATTTTGAAATTTTGCATTTAATTGCATACAATATCAGGCAATTCTGTGGTAACATTTCAACGAGTCAATCGTTTGTTTAAAAAAAAAATTAAGTCAAAATATTGCTCACCTTGAAACATTGCTAAAAAGTCGAACCACATTTCCAACAATGTGTCATCGCTCATAAATCTTTGAGCTACTGGTTTATGAGACAAAACGTTATTTAAATCGGATACGAGAGGCCAGTAGCAGTGCTCTTTCATTACTTGTCGTCCACAGTCTACCACATAATGGAAATTTTTATCTGGATCTATATAATTAAATGATCATTTTAGTACACGTAATATTATTCAATCGTAAAGATAACTTAATAATCAATAAATTACCATGAAGAGTGTTTTGTATAAGAATTTTGCTCATCATATACTTTAAACTAATCACCATTACATGTAGTAGTTTTAACTGATCGACCATTCTAACTGCCAGGCTTTCATTGCTAAATAGCTGCAATAATGATGTTAATATTAATTACTAGTGTAAGGTGTATGATTAATACAGCAATGCATAACTAAATGTATTCCAAAGATATTTAGTTTTCATCGTGCTTGTAGCGATTCATAGGTTAAAATTTTTTTTTTTTCTTTCAATTTTTCAATCAAATTGTTGTCTCCTTTTTTCTTGAAACATGCACAATTGATCAAAGAGAGTGAGAAATTTTTTTGAAAAAATAGTAGTTAAATAGCTTTGTTTGCACGACAATTTTCCGTAAATCTGGCACAAACCAATCAAGATTAAGATAGTCATGATTGTAAAACAGTAATAAAGCAGCACCATTTTATGTGATGATAACAGATGAATAAATAAATTAAATTAAATTTAAAAAATTGCAAGATAAGCATTCTTTTAACCCATATTTGTAATTATAGGATGTTTTAAAAATCCCAAGATTATCGAAGATGTTTTATAAATGTAAAAGTTTAAAGTTACATAAAAAACAAAGATTTCAGTAGCAAAGTAATTTCGTGCCAATAGAAGCTGGTTGAAAGAATATTTTTAAAACAAAAAGCATACAAGTATACATTAAATGAAAATTTTTAACATTTTCATGTACATTTGAAGAGCAGTCAAACTTAATTTGTTCAACTTAATGAATTCAACACTAATTAAATTGAACTGTGTGTGGTTTGAGAAACTTACCTGAACACTGACGTGAACGACTCTGTTGCTCAAGGTGTCGGGATCGTTAGAGCGCTCCAACATCATCGATATCCTGCTGTAGTGCAAAACAAAAGCTCTAGTAAGAGCCTCTTTGTAATCTGGATCCGGTAACATGTTCAATAGTAAACAGACGAGCTTTTGAGGAAACTCATACGCAACTGTCCAAAAAACCAATTCCTCCAAAAACGTCGTGTGCTCCAAATGTTCTTGCAACGATGCACATTCTGTTGAAAATAATTCAGTATGAATTGTCATAGAAAACTTCAGGAAGCGTCATTTCCAATACAGTATTCAGAGCACCTCGATAAAATTTACCTTTGTATTCATCTGGGGGTTCTGGATTTGGTAAAGTTTTTATTGCATCTTGATAAATTTTATTACTATCCTTGCAATAATTACTGTATTTCGACTGGCCCGTGAAAATTGATGGATCCATTAAGCCGCGATACTTTTGGGGATTTGTTAGAGCTGTTGTCATCACATGTCTCATCAAAGCTCCCATGTTGTTGAGATCGAGCAACATTTTCAAATACAAATCAGCGTTTTGTATTGCACCTTTGTAATCAGGTTGACCAACTCGACTGCAATTACATTGTGATAACAAACTTTTAGATTACTCTTTTTACTCGTACTAAATGTTTCGTTGTAAAAGCAGAAATAATTTTAGTAATAAGTTAACAGCAACCTATTGTTTTAATTAAAATTATACATACCAATTTTCTCTCAGATGCTGAATGAGTCTTAAAATGATCCTGGGCATCATAGCCTCAGCAACACACATCAAATCAGCTGGAGCAGCTGCATGATTCACAGCAGCATTCGGCCCGTGCTTATCACAAAATCTATTGTGTAAAATGAAGCAAAGTAAACACACTGATTAGACACACTTACAAAATGGAACGTAGGGCAAGTTTGCAAGTAAAAAAAACCATTCTCACCCTGTCTCCTTCATAACCGAGGTGTCACCGCAATCGCAAGCTCCACCAGCCTGACTGAGGAACATGTTAAAGTCATGACTCCGGTGATTTCCTTTTTTGAAGCACTCGGTGCACAGCGACATGCACGGCGAGATGCCACAGGTGCGGCATCTGTAAGCCACAAAATTAGGGGTCCACACCAGCCCGCACGTCGTTGCATTGTCGTAAGTTCTCACTAGAATAAAAATGAACAAATGCTCAGTAACAACAACAAAACAAGCACAAGTTAGTGCACAGACGTCAGAGCTGATGATAAATCATTGCACGACACAGGCAGAGAGTATTTCGATAGAAGCACAAATCAAAGTAAAAGCGGAGCTGGGATCGAAAAATATTGGAGCTGCTCCAAAATCGAGCATCAAAGGCCATTGGAGGAAGAAGCTGCAGGCTGTTAAAGCTCTGAACCAGGCAGCGTTTTAACCTCCCGACGTCAGCTGCTCAGAGAGTTCGAGAATCGGATAGCTACTTACTCGAGTACGTACTAAAAAAAAAAANAGTAGGTATATACCGCGAGAGCCCCTCGCAATCGTGACAATAAACCTCGAATGAATGCAAAACAACGATCCGCGTGAGAAAAAGAAAAAAAAAAGAAAAAAGAAAAAAGAGAGAAAAACCAGTGCGGCATGCGTGAGTTACGGTGAATCAGGTATGTAGGGTCGTGGTTGTCGTCGTCGCATCATCATCATTATCATCATCATCATGATTATCACCTGTGTTGGCAAACTCGTCGGGGGTGCGACCACCGGCCATGAGCCACTTGCACCAGTCAATGGTCTCCCAATTGTCGATAGGCTCGCCCGGATTGAGCAGTATATCGAGCAGCTCGTTCAGGTGGTGCGGACAGCCGGAGCCGAGGTTCGCGCTCCGACACTCGTCGAGAATGTACTGAGCAGCGCCCTTCTTGCCCTTGTTCATGAGCACCTGGGCCGAGGCGCTCGAGGTCGACGCCATCGCCCCGACTGAGCTGCTACCGCCCCCAAGGGCGCCGGTGCCCTCGTCCGACGGGGATGACGACGAGCCCTCCTCCCCGGGATCCTCCAGCTCTCCTCGGCTAGCCAGCTCCGTTCGCGGCGGCGGCTGGCTACTGACCGACCGAGAGGTGAATGAACCTGTCCACTCGCGGCGACACACACTCGCGACCGTCGTCAACTACTTACACACTGTACCCTACGGCTGCAACTTTACTCAAGTAATCTTAGACACCAACTTAACCAGTGGGTAAGTAAGTGTAGGCGCGAATGGTTCCGTACCAAACTAAACTGAGTACTTGAACAATCACACTTGACACTAATAAACTTGACGCGGTTGGCTCAATCGGTGCGGACCGCTGCTCCAAAAGAGGCACCAAGGACGAGCAGCGATGGGCAGTTGTCCTGCAGCCGACGACCGCCTCGGGCCTGCTCGAGCTTCGCAAGCGCCATGTCCCTCCCGTGGTTGAGGTCAGCGGCGACAGTGGCCGTCCAGCGACTCGACCTCGCAACAGCAGCCATACATACCTCGCAGTAACGACGACGGCGGCGGTGCAGGCAGCAGCGTTGTCGTCGTCGTCGTCGTCGTCGTCGTCGTTTCGTGTGATCGTGTCTCTCCCTCGCGATCGTCTGCTCCGCAAGTCCCGCACTGATGATGTATATATAAATGAGTGTGTCCCCTCGACAGTCTCGAGTCTCGAGTGTCTCGACACCCCCGAATGCAAGGATTCTCGAGGATTCTGTGAGAGTCCTTTCTTATAGGTGTACTTTTTTGGAGTATAGATATATATTTGTATATAAGAACGATCTTAATATATTATAATTCGTCTCTTTAAAATCAATCATTGCTGTAACTGAAAACTTTGAAACAAATCGAGCAACCCTCGAACCAAACCCGAGTTTGCGTTTTCCCCCAGTTGTAGGAATATACGTAACTTAGGACAGTAAGAACACGCAATCGTCCACGGTCCACGCCACGACTTACGTATATGTAGGTATGCGATCTTGCGATTAGAAGATCATATATAAGACTAAATTTAAGACTGACGCGCTGCAGATAGCAGACTCTCTGCAGGTGATTTCTGATTTGCTAGCTCAGCTAGCCTAGCTGCATGCAACAATTTTTTGTTGTCAGCGCCATCTCGCGTTATTATAGTTATAGTTATTTCTAATAATAAAGCCCTAGAATTATTAGCATCACTCTTCAGTAGTTCAATATAATTACAACACCAGATGGCGCTTGGTTGAAAGGCAAATTTAAAAAATGAGAATCTACCGTACCGACAGTAGGTAAAAAAAGAAACCTGCAACGATAAACTAAGTTAACCGTTGGTACGGCAGGCCCCGAATTGCTGTAAGGACCATTCGTAGATCAATAATACCGCAGTTTTGTTGTTATTGTTGCAATTATAATCAATTATAATAACGTTTATAAATCTTTTTTTATCGAATGTACTGGCTATAAAGATTTAAAATTTGAACCTAGGTAAGTTAAAAATAATGCCCCCCCACAGCTCTAAATAACGCGTGGTCGAAGAAACGTGATTTTTTAAACTTAATTAAGGAATTTTTTACTGAAAATCAGTGGGATTTAGATATATACATCCTGATTGATTTTTTGTTCAAAACGTGCTAAAGAATATCAGAATAAATTTTTTGATTACCGAAATTGTACGGACACTATTTTTCCTACCGACGGCGCAGTTAACGTCCATGGAATTTGCCACGATTGTCACGAAAAACGTCCCGAAGACCTCGGGCCGAGGTAGGAAAAAGCCTTTTTTATTTATAAAGTCGGAATTTTTGTTAGTCACGATTCAGATTAAAAAAAAAGCATTGCTACCAGACAAACGGTTATTTTCTTGGCTCCGTGATCTTTAAACTGTTTGAGGTCAATAAGGTTGCTTTTCCTCCCTATGTATCTTTTGGATTTGAGTTGATCAATATTTTTGATGCTTTTCTGGTAAGGCTGTACAATTGTGTACAAACTGAAGCAAATGGATCACAAGAATAGCATAATGATAAGTATGTTATATATTAATAGTACTACATACATTGATAAGTACCCTTTTTGATATAAATAAAGTTTTACAACGTAAATTTTAAAGAAGTTCTAAAAAATTTATTTTAAAATAACAAAAGAAGTACATACTGTCACAATTTTTCGTCCTTTTTTTTAAAAATGGCATGAAAATAAAAATACATCATCACAGAGTTTTAAACATGGTGATTAAGTAAATAAATACATCTCTCGTCTTTATTTCTTTACAAAGTGTAGCCGGGAAATTTAGCTTCATTTGGCTTTTGCATATCCACAAGGAAGTAAATTGTTCCTGCTAAGCCTAAAAGGTACAGTAAACGACATTATGAAATTGTTACATTATTTGCATTAGTTTTAAAAGAGTAAGAAATAAAATATCACCTTCAAATAATGAAAATGGCCTATCAGCAGGTTTCTTCTGGTGAGCATCATAATCCAAGCACCATTCTGCGAATCTACAAGCTCTATACAGATATTTAGGATCCTAAAAAAATGTTTTTTCAATGTTAATTCAATCGGTTTTTGACAAAATTATTTTCCGTTACTTTTGTTTGTTGGAACAAGCATAGGAACGTGTAAGCGTTTCCAGCAACCCCATGGCAAATCCCACAACCTTTCTTAAGAAGTCCCCTCTGCCACACAACTTCACCACATTGTAAAGCTGTATTTAAGTACTGATCTTTTTTGAAAACCTACCAAAAATGATAGTGAATTTTTTTCATAGTGTTCAAAAGACCAAAAATGTGTTCATAGTTTTGAATTTTACTTCATAAGCTAGACAAAACAACATTGTCATGGACGGAGCCCCGTGACACCAGTGAACTAATTTATCAGTCGTACTTCCAACAGAAGAAGGGAAATTTCCAGATGGATACTTCAATTTTTCCAACCACTGAAGAGATGGTTCAACTTCATTTTTCAGCTGCTCTTCTGTTAAATATTGACGAGCCTAAATAAATTAAAATTACCGTAATAAACGATATTTAAAATGAAACTCTTTATTGATAGACTCACTTGTAATAACAGGTACAGTATTCCAGCCAGGCCATGAGCACCACCTAGATATTCAGAGTCATGCCACATATACATCAATGGAGATTTTATACCTCGTGACTTTGCGTAACTTTTTCCAGAACTCAACACACATGCGATTACCTGAAATTAATTTTATTATAGATGAATTGAATAACAAAGCATAAAAAAATTGTCCTTAGACGTGCATTCCTTGTACCTGTTTAAAAAGATCATCCTTTATGGGAGCAGGAGATACATGTTTGTTAACAAAAAGAATGGAATAAAGGAAACCAACTCGACCATACAGTAACTCATCAGGAATACCACTGCTGTCATCAACAACGTACGATGACATTGATATTAATCTGCAAGTAAAATTTTCTCATATACATTGGTAATCACTTTGATGATACTTGCGTCATATCTCAATACAAACTTTGAAATCAAATTCTTGGACTCTTCTTTATCTCCATGTAAATGATAAAACACAGCTCCCAAAGCAAGTGGTCCAGCATTTCCAGTTAAAAATGTTACGTGTCTCTTACCTCTCAAACTACCAACGATTTTTCTAATGAGGTCCAAGGCTCTCTAAAATTTTGAGGACATCTATTGTATACTTTATCATAATTTTAGTTTAAAAAAAAAAAGATGAAAATACCAACTTACGGATGTATAGTTTTCGTCATCAAAATACTTTCCATACTGATAAAAGGTGTAAGCAACTCCCGGCGATCCTGTGTAAAGTGAGGAATCATCTTGACTGTACCAATGTCTCTTGTGGTCTTCTAATCTTTGTAACAATACTTTTGTGCCAATGCTCAATTTATTTCTAAAATCATCGCTGATCTGAAAATGAAAATATGTTTATTCTTTCCGTAATGTAAACTCTCGATTTTTTTTACATACATCCACACCGTCGCCACTTATCAATGATTTATGTTTTTCTGCCAAGAAGTCTTCATATGGGTTGTCTATATGTCTGACACTCATATTAAACCACGTACTTGTTATACCTGAAATAATGTTTTCACTCAGAAACAACTGCGTTGAATAATCACAGCTTACAACTTGCAAAATATGTAAGATTCAATTAAACAATCACATTTATGGGTAGAACGATTTCTTTTCATTTCCATGACACTATAGGGAATGAAAAGTAAAGAGGCAAAAGTGAGAAAATTTCTACATAAAGTGCACGACCCAAAGAAAAACGGTAGGTATACTGTACATCTTGTGGATTATCAACATCAGTTGAATTAGTTCTAAAAACTACTGCAACCTAACCTATTTCCTAAAGCAAACTTACCGCACAGTTGTTAAATTAAACAGTGAGAAATATGTAAAAAATATTTACTCGTATATAGGGAATTATACATAAAGATATCAAGCGAACCTATTTGTTGAAGATCAGTTTCTTTTGTTTAATTTTAAGGGAAACAAACACAAAGTGCCGGCTATTTGTTGCTTCAATTCTTAATTCTCAAAAATACATTATGAGTAAAATCATTCTTACCAATCAAGATCTTTCAAAGAGGAAAGTTGAACCAATATCTCGTAAAATAATTATTACCTGATAAAGCACGAGTGAAAATTAAGTACCTACACTTACTTTTGACAAACTGCTTGATTTTGTTTTATTTTTTTATTGCGCTGAAAGTTTTAATCGACCGTGCGCATCGCGCTCGCGCATCAAAACAAAACAGGTAGGGTTAGGTGATTTTTATTATGTATACCTATCAATCTTACGTCAAAAATAATTCCACATTAAGTAAGTATGCAGTATTTCGAATGTAAACGGAGGTTCTTGAGCAAGAAAATTGAGGCTGACAAAAGCTTTTTACTTGTGCAGGAATGCTGACGTGTTTGCCGGGCTATCGGATCCCTGAAATAAGTATTAGATTATCGAGTTTTAAACAAAATCAAGCAGAACTAAAAAGAAAATCATGGATCAAACATTGGAAGCTGCCCTGGCTGCAGCCAGCAGGGCCGTGGATTTTGATAGAAATGATCAGAACAAGCAGGCCGTCTATTACTACAGCATTGCCGTTAAACTCCTGAAACTAAAAGACTTGTCTACCGTTCCTGCCTTGGCTGACAAGTGCACTGAGTATGAGGACAGAATAACGGAGCTGGAGAAAACTAGTTGGTTGAAAACTTATCTAATGGTTTCATCGTTTGTTGCCAAATGATCACGATTGGTAAGTTACAATGTACTTTTATCAATTTCCAGTTCTCGAAGAGGAGAATAAGAAGCATGAGTCTGAGAAACCCAACGAAAGCGAACTGCTCAGGTGCAAGTTTTTACTCACCCAAGCACTGGATGCGGATGAGGCAGGCTTTAAGGATGAGGCTATCAAGTTGTACACCAATGCAGCTGAGCTCGGTCTCAAGGCGGTAAGTTGTAACCCTGGCTTCATTGAAATGGACCAATATTTAATAGAAATGAATTTTCAGAAAGCTACAGGCAGCGAGAAGGTGAAGATCACTAATCTCGTTCGTCATGCTCTGGACAGAGCTGAGTCATTGAAGGGAATTAAGAAAAACGAGGCTGAAACTGTCTTGCCTGACTTGCCATCTGTTCCTGAAACAGATTTGCCTATAGATGACGATGTGTTGACCCAAACTCCAGTAACTTCTGTACCAAAGAGTCCAGGTTTGTAAAGCTTCGTCTGTCACAAGGATTGCTTTTGCAATTTTATAATTTTTGATGGAAAAAATTATTTTTAGCCCCAATAAAATCAACGAGACCTCCTTTACATAGGGGAAGTAGTGCTCATTTGAAAGTTACCGGGGGAAGTGGAAATTACACGGAAGAAGAAAAAAGAGTGTTGTTACATAGTTCACATATCAATGACCATGAATTTGTGCCTTTCATGAATGTAGACCTATCGGAGAGGTTCCAGTATGCGATTCCGTTTACTGATAAAGATGGCTTACTTAAGCTGTCGCCAAAGCAAAAGCCAGACTTTGACAAGTGGTGCCGCCCAGAAGAACTGGTCTCGGAACCAAAAATGATCATGGGACATGTACCTGATTACTACAGCATAAAACAAACAGTAATTTCATTGACGATTATCCTATAGTATTTTAAATATTTTTCATTACTCAAAAGCAATTTCTCGTTCTAGGTAGTTTCAGACTGTTCATTTGTAGCTTCACTGGCAGTAAGTGCTCAATACGAAAAAAAGTTTGGCAGAAGACTCATTACTTCTATAATATATCCTAAAAATAAAAACAAAGAACCCATTTATAATCCATTTGGTAAGATTATTCAGTAAAGTTACAGATTCACCATTCATTTATCATCTGTTATTAACTTTGATTTCTCAATTAGGAAAATACATGATCAAATTGCACATAAATGGGGTTTCGAGGAAGGTCGTTATAGATGATTTGTTGCCTGTTAGTCGACACAATCAGTTACTGTGCTCTTATTCAAACAATCGAGGGGAACTGTGGATATCTTTATTAGAAAAAGCATACATGAAAGTAATGGGGGGTTATGACTTTCCTGGATCTAATAGCGTAAGTATTTATTCTGCACACAATTGAATATAACAATTAAATGCTGTAATGTCGCAAATTTTTATGCTACAGAATATTGACTTGCATGCTCTCACGGGGTGGATACCAGAGAGGTGGGCGATAAGGCCTAATGAGCCAGACTTTAACAAAGATAATTTATTTGATACTCTACTCTTAAGATTGCATAAAGGAGATGTTCTAGTCACTGTGGCAACCGGAGATCTTTCCGATGCCGATGCAGATCGCACGGGTCTTGTACCTACTCATGCTTATGCTGTGCTAGATGTCAGAAAAATCAATGTTAGTTCAGTGGAAAACGTGCTCTAATCGAATACTAAAAACTCTTTGACTCATTTTGGTTTTGCTTTTAGGGAGAAAAATTATTGCAATTAAAAAATCCCTGGTCGCACTTGAGGTGGCGAGGAAATTATTCTGAAATTGACACAAAGCACTGGACTCCTTCTTTGAGACAGACGTTAAATTACGACCCAGATTCTGCATCACAATTCGATAATGGCATATTTTGGATCGATTTTGAAAGTATATGCCACTTTTTTGATGTTTTTTATTTAAATTGGAATCCTTCACTATTTAATTATACTTATTGTATTCATCAGTAAGTTAATGTATTTTAATCAAAATTTCACGTGTTATTTAATGTAAGGTGTAATGCTAATGACAGTAATATAAATAAACTTTTTTTAAACTTATTAAAGAATGTGGAATGCTGGGGTCGGTCCTGTTAAGGATGCCTATAATATAGGAGATAATCCTCAATTTTCATTGGAAGTTCCACCTAATGTTAAAGGTTCAGTTTGGATATTGCTGACAAGGCATATCACTGACATTGCCGATTTTCGACAAAATCAGGAATACATAACTGTTCTCGTGTACAAAAATGATGGCAAACGAGTATATTATCCACGTAAGTAAAATTTTTCCACTTACTAATGATTTTGAACATTAAACAATTTAACGATTTAACCATCATTGCTTGTTGTATTCCACGAACATTAAAAGAAACTATTTCGTACAGATAAATTTGACTTTTTAAGATTAAATTCATCCAGCTTACATTAAAAAATAAAAAAACAAAAAACATAATGTGTAGTAAAGTGTTATTTTGCTTATAATTTTGATTGCTTACAAGTTATTTTAAATGATATTCATTCAATTTAGATGATCCACCACCTTACATAGACGGAGTAAAAATAAACAGTCCACATTACTTGTGTAAAATAAAACTTGGTCAAAATGAGAATAGTCGTTTCACTCTCGTAATTTCGCAGTATGAAAAAACTAACACGATTTATTACACTCTGCGAGCTTATGGAACTTCGCCTTTTACACTTCGCAAAATAGCAGATCCTTATAAATTTACAAAAGAGGTATTTAGAACTCAATATAGATATTTGTAATTTTTTATTGTTATTTATTTTGGAATTGCAAAATTATCTCATTTAGAACAATTTCTAGTATAATTGAGGTTTTCAAATAATTTAAAAAATTCCGAACATTGCAAAAAATTATTTGTCAAGAGATTAATAAGAAGACTGTTTTTCAAATATTTATTGTTCCAATAGATAACAGATGGCCAATGGAAGGGAATGAGTGCCGGTGGGTGTAGCAATCACCCAGAAACTTATGTATGTAACCCTAGGTATCAATTAGTGCTAGAAAGCCCACATCATAATAACTGGCTGTTAGTAATTTTAAAAGGTCCCAAACAGTATCAGATTGGTTTCGAAGTTTTAACCGTAGTTTTAAATGATACAGAAGCTCCAACGTCGTTTAAAACTAAAAATTCTGGTCCCTTCAGGTACGTCATTTGAACTGTTTGAAATTTGCATATCAATATTGCAGCTAAGTAATGTACTTTTTTCTTTGAATCTTAGATCCGGATTTGTCTACTTGGAGTTGGAAAACGTTCCTTCGGGGACGTATAACATAATTCCATCGACTTTTATGCCCGCCCAAGAGGGTCCATTCTTTTTGACTTGTAAATCATCATGCAGCATACAACTAACGCGTCTTCAATGAAGTTCTAATTTTAAGCTTTTCTTCAACATTCGGTGCTATTTTGTCTACAGAGAAACTTTATCTTCGGCTATTTTTACAATTTAAAATAATTTCGAGCACAAGTTGTATGTAAAGTATTCTTATTTTTAATACTTCGTATGTACTATGAAAAATAAAATTTTACTACGCCTTTTAAACTGTAAATAATATTTAAAAAAATGTAAAATAAAAGCTATTATTAATTAAAAAAAAAACAACTTTGCATTTTTTAAAAGATTTAGTGTAAGTAGGAATCAAATTTTTCAACGTTACCAGGATCCGTCAAGTGGATCGATCAATCAACCTCAGTTACCCTTATTTACAACCGCAGGTTTTTCAACAATTTACTATCCACCGAGCTATATGCTCTCACTGATGATCATCAGCAATCTCATTTCCTTTAAATTACTATAGTTATTATTTTTATTAATCACAACGAAATTTGTGTTTAAACAACAATTTATTCATCTGCTAGGTTAACCAATCTTTATTTACTAACATTTGTTTTCAAAGCTTTGAATTCTTACATTTTTTTCACTAATAGGGTATTTATTAAAAAAGAAATACCCTATTTAGTTTTCTTACATATACGTATAAAAAAAATTTAAATAATTAAATAGAACAGTAGTTAAAAATTTTCCTAACACTAACGTGACTGCCGTGACCGGCCGGCCGGCTGTTATTACGTAGACTACTGATCAGGTTGTATAATAATATAGTTTCAAACTCGGTTTGAAGCTAACTAACGAAAGCAAAGACAATTCAGCTTGTTAAATTAACAACAAATAGGATTTTTTTAAGTAACATTTATTATATAAAAAATTATGACTCAAGGGTGTCATTTTTGTCTATTTTCTTACATAGTTTCGAGTAATAAATAAAAGGTAATACTATAATAATAGTATACATATTATGCGTTACGAAAATTTTTCTAACACTTCAATTAATGAGAACTGACATGAATTATTGTTGTTTTATACGTATATATATTACATAGCACAAAGTTTCCTTACAATACTATGCATATTGAGAAAAATACATAAATTGAGATAACATACATGATATAAATGTTTTTTGTAAAGTTTATACACAAAATAAAGCACTTTGGCAGGTGTCTCTCTGTGTATGCATCTATACGTTACATGTGTGTAATTAGTGACATCTCGGAGTTCTATCGATCGATTTTGATGAATCTTGGTCTATTTTTTTGTTTTTGCATACACTAATCACTTCTAAAAAAAATTTTTGATGTTATTAATTACTTTTTTTTAATTTCGATTTCAACAATTTTGAAAAATCATCTGTCCTCCCACGGAAGGAACTGGTGAAGTGCAGTCAATGTACCAAGCGAAAAAGAATTTTTTTTTATCAATTGGTAATAACTATTTTAAGCAGTAATGTCGTACGTAACAGTAAGTTAAAAATAAAAAAAAAACTACAGTTTTTAATGTCTGGATTTGAGACAACTAATAAAACTTATTATTCACCATCTCCACGTGGACACAATTCCCACGTGCAGGGGACCGATAAAAATGATGCTTATTGTAGTATGACAGAACAAGAATCTACTTGGTTATTCCTATTTTAAAAGATTCATACTATCAGCTATCAGTGTCTTTTTTATTTGCTGTGTGATTGGTTTGAAAATCACATGATTTATTTCGCTGGTCAATCTAGTAATTAATTATATGGAATTGTAACAATAATTAATTTAAGTAGGTTTTTAAATCTATTATTAGAAAAAAGTTTCAAAGTCAGCTCTAAATAAAACTTTATACAACTTAATCATTTTTCGTAAAATCTTTTACATTTCTTCAAGTTAAATTTTATTTTATAACATTAATAAATTTTTACCGTGAAAAATCGATGTCTAGGGTTATTTTGGCACAATCTAATTATTGCACCGAAAAAAATATACATTCTTTAACGAAAAATAGAAGAAATTGTAGATTTATTGTCGACTTAAAAAATTTTACTAGTAACAACACCGTAAGTGCATGCACTTATGGCTTTTTTGCTGGTAAAACTGTCCAACCCAACCATTGGACTCCAAGTCTCTCACAAAAAAACTATACCTATATATGTGTAAGGCTCTACATAACCTTTATATTTTTTATGATACAAGATTTTATTAATTTCAACCTTTTTCTTGGGTAAAAATTATTTGATTGTTTAACGTAATTTCGCAATTGTTTCATAAGAATTCTTTTTTTCTTACAGGAAGTGATTCTGGTTGCGCATGTGATTTTCGAGATCTTTGTTGCGAACAAAAGTTAATGAACACTCGGTGCAGTGATGTGTATGTACACACCCCATGTGTTTTGCAAGACAACTCTTACGAGCAAATTTATGTAAACACTCACTACAGCTATATGGTTTCTTACCCTCATGAACTATACGCTCGTGTTTCGTGAGATTGTATTTGAGAGTGAAAGTTTTCGAGCATAGATTGCAGCTGTAGGGCCTATTATCAATGTGAATCCGCTCATGCACCTTAAGATCAGTTATATGAGAAAAATTTTTCAAACATATTTGGCACTTGTACGGTTTATCACTAATGTGGAGCCGCTCGTGAATTACTAGATGGAATTTTCGAGAGTAAGTTTTCGAGCATAGTTTACAGCTGTAGGGCTTATTACCAGTGTGGATCTTTTCATGCACCACAAGATTCGATATTTGAGAAAAACTTTGCAAACAAGTTTGGCACTTGTACGGCTTATGGCCACTGTGGACTCGCTTGTGCACCGTAAGATTTGCTTTGTAAACAAAGCTTTTCGAACATGTTTGGCACTTGTACGGCTTCTCGCCCGTATGAGTCCGATGATGTTTTTTTAGAGAGTCTTGTCGGGTGAAAATTTTCAAACATGTTTGGCACTTGTACGGCTTCTCGCCTGTATGAATCCGCTGATGCTGTTTTAGATAGCCTTTTCGGATGAAAATTTTCAAACATGTTTGGCACTTGTACGGATTATCCTCTGCGTGAACCTGCACGTGCTCCAACAGATGACGTTTTCGTATAAAACTTTGCGAACACGATTTACAGTCGTAAGACTTTACGTCCGTATGCGTCAACTCGTGTCTCGTAAGACTCTTCTTATCCATGAAGGTTTTGTAACATACCTTACAACAGTAGGACTCACTATTAGTGTGGATACGTTTGTGCACCTTAAGAGTATTGCTTGTTTTGCAAGTTTTTCCACATATGTCACAAAAATATGAACTGCAACCTGCTTCGGCCATATTCGTCAACGACAATAGAAATAAGTCAACATTACACAGCCAAGACTGAAGCTGCTATTGAAACGACCAAGGAGTGGCTTGGTTCTTATAGACATATGTTTATGTAAGGGTCTATAAGATGTTTTTTCCTGTGCAATATATAAGTAAATAGGCAATTGTTTACTATGTCACAGATTATTTGGTTAAATAATTGTAAATGTATTGTATCGTTAGTCGAAATAACTTACCTTGTATGAAACCTTTATAACAGTTGAATACGAATAGCCGTTGTATTTTTAAAAACTGCATGGTTGCATTCATTTTTTACGCACAAATAGTTCAGCTGTAGACTTTTTCTCGAGAGACACACGTTTTCTCGTAGGTTATCAAAATGCAGAAATCTTTTTTGAAATTTTTTTTCTCACACTATTCAAGTTAAAAATAATGTGCATAATTATGCATTATACGTATGTTTTTATTCTTTGCAATAGCTGTTTGACAATATATTATTTACTTACAGAAAAATGAGACTTTCAAATGTATAAGCTTTAACAGTTGCAACGCACGTAAAAAGTAAAAGTAATAGTAAAAAATGTTATCTTTAAAACGTCATGCACTTCTAATGATAAGGAATATACAGCTAATGATCCAATAATAGGTTTTTTTTATAAGTAAAGCTAGACAGCGATGAAGTGATACTTGGCAACGTTGCAGTCTTTAAAATCATATCATTTTTATAATTTTCAAAGCTATTTGAGAAATCTAGCTTCTGAAACAACAATACACTATTTCGATATCTTAAAGTAAAACAACAAATTTAGGTCCTGCCATGGGGATGGCAGCATCAAAACGGGGGAACTGAAATATTTTACATGCAAATTGAAAAAAAAGTTTGTTAATAATAGTGGTCGTGGTGGCGCAACGGTAGAGTTGCAGTTCCGTCGATCTCCGAGGTTAAGCTGCATTTGGTGCGGTTAGTACTTAGATGGATGATCGTCTGGTCACCATTCAAGTCTCACCCGTTCGCCTGTGCTCTTGATTCTCGAAGGTCGATTAACTGTTTCTCTGACGCTTCGTCCACGTGATCATAGGTGTGACTGAGTTAGTCCAGATGTTTATATACATATATTAACATCTGGTCATAACTCAGGTGCACTGATGGCTAATTAACACTATGCTTGTTTTTAAAAATGACATGTCTGAGCCTACGGGTGATGATGAATATATAAAAAAAAAAAGTTAGTTAATAATGTTTATTAAAACTTTGTAGAAAATACTTTAGTCCCTCTGTTTTGGTGTTGCCATCCCCATGGTAGGACTTCAATTTGTTGTTTTAATCATATCCTGGTAATAATAAAAAAATTAAAGATTTATTTTTGAATGTTACCGGTTTTTATCTGGTTTTACAGGTGCAAAAGCCTAACAGAAAGATTTTTTACTGGTTTCTATTGGACACCTTCAATATAGGGATATCACTGTGAGAATAGTAGTTTTTGTCACAAAAGTGCCATTGACTGTGGGGCCATTTTGCGGCTCGAGGGATCTGCAAAGCAGGCCCGACGGGTCCATAGTGGGGTAAAATATATAATGTCTCTTTAATTGTAAAATACATTATTTTGGGCAACAAAAAACTAATACATCGAATCTAAACAAGTCAAATAATACGAAACTGTAAACTTTATTGTGATGATTTTAATGATAATGGTGGACATGGATTTGGAGCTTGGTTCTAATTTCGAAATAAAAATCGTTTAATAATGCGCTCCAGTGGAGTCTTCGCCATATTAGTCAGTATGGGAAACTAATTTCTTATGTGCATATTTCCAACCGTGGTCCGATGGTTCGGATGCCATGTAAAATAACATGACCCCATTGCTGTGTAAATGATTGATTAACAATAAATCTGAAGCGGAGTTTTGATATGCCAATGACAATAGCATATATACATGCAGAGTACAACATAGCAATGCAGAGCCGTTATGATACGCACCGATCGTTAGAATATGGTTTTAAAATCTGAAAAAAAGAAAAAAACTATTAATCTGATTCTGATCCCACAAACGTTCACAATATATGACATGCTTAAATTATAAAATAGTAAACATAATAGATATGCTACTGATTTTTAATTTTACTCCAAGCAGAAATAATTTTATTCCATCAATTGGTAATAAGTATTTTATGGAATAAGTTAAAAATAAAAAAGAAAATAGTAACAGTGTTGCGTGAGAAAGATATTGGCAAGGAGGTGCGTCGCGGGAATGTAAATTATAAAGTCTAGATTTGAGTTAACAAATAAACTTTATTATTCGCTATTATCTGTTACAAGTTATTATAAAAACTCATTAATACTTATTATTAGTTTTTATTTTTTTAGGAATTTTTATTCCGGGTTACCGCGATAGCCTATTGGCCCAGTCGCCGGGGCCACCCACTCACCACCTATGTGTGGGGGTTTATTACCGTACCCATTTACCAAATCCCTGATAGCACACATATGTCATACCATGGGCGCAGTGGGGTATCTCTGGTGAAACACCTTGCCAGTTAAGCTGGCACTCTCTGCACCAATGATGCATCGGGTCCACTCGCCACTGTGTAACCTTTCCCCGGAGAAGATTGCGTATTTCAGGGACCACTCCTCGCCGGTAAGGCCGGCGACCTCTGCCTGACATCGGATACACTAATCTCTACCTATAGCCCTAACACTGTTTCGCACTTACCAAGGCGCGAAGACCTGTGGGGCAAGGAAAAAACCCTGGAATTACTCTGAAGGAAAATTCCACGGAAATACCCGCCTCGAAACAACCGGAGTTGCATAAGAACTTTTTCTGGTGATAACAGTTTTTTTTAAATCTACACTCAACGGGAATCGAACCGACGACCCCTAGAACGACGTTGTATCTGTAACCAAAACACTTACCACTGAGCCAACGCTACTCCTTTATTATTGGTTATTATTATTATTATTATTTTTTTTTTTGCGAGATCGATTGGTACAAGTGTCTGCAAAGATTAGTATTTATTGTTATTTTTATTTATCTCATATATAATATAATACAACAATAATAGAGAGCGGTCGTAGCTTAGTTGGCTAAGGCGTAAGTCTTGGTCAGTGGGGATATGGCTGCTCAATTAAGTGGGGCGTGGGTTCGAATCCCGGTCGGTGCAATTTTTTGGGAAAGTTTTTTCAAGAGTTGTTTCCGTCCGATATTCGTTCCCAAGCCTTGCGGCTGGTCCTATGGCTTGTCACAGGGCGACGCGGGGTTCACACCTCACAGACGCCCTTGGTAGGCAGTGTTGGGTTAGGAGGATATGATTTTGCATTTTTATTACTAGGACCTATATATAGCTACAGATCCTAGTGAGAAAAATGCAAAAGCTAAATAGTAGGGGGAGGAGGCCAGTGGTTCTCCCCAAATGTGACTGGCAAACTTGTGAGAAATTCAAATTGGCTATGTGGTGCAAGACAATTACCCAGATAACTCGACACAATTACATGCATGATAACTTGATAAATTAATTCCAAGCTATTTAACCCAACAACCCAATGGGCCAATAAGCAGCCTCATGAGTTTAAATAAATAATAAAATTTATTAATTGACACAGCAAGCGCCAATCCCCACATGACCCAAGGCACTTACTGGTTGCTTTAATTATTTATGATTAATGAAATAATAACGCAAGCGCCTATCCCCACACAACCGGGGGAGCTTACAGGTCACTTACTTAATTCACTATAAATAAAATAATAATGCAAGCGCCTATCCCCACACAACCGGGGGAGCTTACTGGTTGCTTACTTAATTTACTGTAAATAAAATTATAATGCAAGAGCTTATTCCTACATGACATAGGGCGCCTACTGGTCACTATGATTATATAAAATCGATTAAATAATGCAAGCCTCTCGGGTCATGTGGGGGTTAGCGTTCACATCATTCTATTTATTGTAAATAATCAAAGCGACCAGTAGGCGCCCTGGGTCATGTTGGAATAAGCTCTTGAATTATAATTTTATTTATAGTAAATCAAGTAAGCGACCAGTAAGTGCCCTTGGTTGTGTGGGGATAGGCGCTTGCGTTANAGCCAATTTGAATTTCCCACAAGTTTGCCAGTCACATTTGGGGAGAACCACTGGCCTCCTTTCCCCTCCTATTCAGCTTTTGCATTTTTCTCACTAGGATCTGTAGCTATATATAGGTCCTAGTGATAAAAATGCAAAATCATATCCTCCTCACCCAACACTGTTGGTAGGTGCGGGACCAGTTGAGAAAGTGAGGGGTTATAGGGGTGGAAAGAGGGAAGGACGCTAGCACAAGGCGACCCATCAGAGATAGGCGCTGTGGACGACTTAAATGGGAGCGGACCTTGGGGAAAAATTGTAGGGACCAAGGGCGGAAAAGAGGGGTAACAAAAGGGGTTAAATAGAAAAAAAGGGGTAAAGGGTAACGGTATAGTGAGGGACTGGGGACTCGGGACTTAGGATCAACACCCACCACACTACGGTGGTAGAGGGTGACCATAAAAAACTAACTTGAGCGGTGTACGGATGGATAATAAAAATAAAAAATAAAAAATCTGGTATTAGCAATTGTGTTTAAAAGCCAAGCATCGGATAGTGATAAAATTAACAATAACAGTTCTTTCTATCCACTTTTTTCTCTATGTTCCTAGAATGACATTTATGACGAAAAAAAATGATAAAAAATAATAACATACGTATTACATTCTACTATTTATCTAAAACCTGAACTTTCATAATTTTTATTATCAGTTATTATTTTTTATTCGTTAAAATGATTTCCGCTTAGGACGAATATTGTTATTTACAGTTGTTTTAACTTCCTCGAAATTAATTTATTCCAGTGAAGTAAAATTTTTTCAAGATCCTCTGTGTAAAAAACATTGTAAGTTAAAATAAGTGTAGCTATTTCTGATCATCCTTATTTACTTAAAGTAAGCTTAAAAACACATAATGATTAATATTAAAACATGGCTGTTTTAGTACAGAGAATAAGCTGTAAAAATGTCTCGAAAATCCAAAAGTTAGGGAACAATAATGGTTTCCTAACAATTTAATGAAACTCTTTACTGACAAATAATTAAATAACTTTACAAATAATCATTTTAACCAAAAATTTTCATGTAAAAGGTATTTTAGGTCACCTTTCATCAGGTAGAAAATTATCATGGTGAAGGGAAATACCTCTCTATGTTATACAGTTATTCGGGATGAGGGGGGGGGGGAGCCACAAGCCCCCCACAGGATAAGAAAAAATTGGTTCAATTTCTCCATTGTTTAAACTTAATTAAATTTTGGTCAAGCATCCCCCCAAATATTTCCACAGCCAGTCCAGCTAATTTCGAAGGCCCCCAAAACCCCCCTTTTCAATTTATGTCTCTTTTATTAGTAAATACGTTGCTGTTGGATAAAGATATGATTCCTATTCTTGTATGCTACCCATTAAGCTAATAGAATTACTGTTTACTTATGAATAATAATAATTATTAAATGATGGTTTAATTAATATAGTTTTTTAAGAAATCAGATTTGTTTTATTTTATTTATATCAAGTTTAGGTACGTTCACTATTTTTTGTCGATGATTATCAAATTTTTGTAGCGCTTACAGAGGACTTACACAAAAACAATATTACTGATACAGAACGTTCATATAATTTACAATATGTAATGACAATAGCATATATACATGCAGAGTACAACATAGCAATGCAGAGCCGTTATGATACGCACCGATCGTTAGAATACGGAAGGAACTGGTGAAGTGCAGTCAATGTACCAAGCGAAAAAGAATTTTTTTTTATCAATTGGTAATAACTATTTTAAGCAGTAATGTCGTACGTAACACTTTTTTCACCTTGATTGAAAATTACTTTTTGAATACGATTGTCAGGAGTTTAAACTTCGTTAGGCGATTAAAATACAAAGATTTGTAATATTTTTTGTTTTGAAAAATGATCATCTTTACCATTTTTATTATGTATAAACAATTTTCTTTTTAGTGTTATTTTAAATGGTTATCAATAAATAAAAGTTTTATTAAAATAGGATTATATTTTAAAAAGCCTTTGTTTTTTCATGGACAGTTATATATTACATTTCGTAGATGTAAGAACTCTGAAAAAATTTTCGTACAATTAATCACCAAATTGTTTACAAATCGTAAATATAGTTTGGTAGGAAACTTTTGATTGTTTATTTTTTAAAAATTATAATGTTTACTTACTTGACTAATATGTCAAATATTCAATACGCGTTTTCATACAATATCAATAGATGATAAAAAAACAACCTATTATTGTATGTAAATGTTATTAATTAACAATGAGAGCCACCAAATTGTAGGCAAATGGAAAATGTACTTTGGGAAGAAAAAAAATAAAGGGAAAATAATTATGCAAACGTAGTTTTCATTATGTCTAATTTCATTTAGTACCTATATTTTTTTACTATGCAAAGTGGGAGTTGGGGCGCGGTGGGCACAGGGAAATGAAGCTCTACTAGTATACACATATTTGTTTGTTCGTTAAAAATAAAAAAAATGAAAATTCTAAAATCCAGATACTCACAAAGTGCCATTTCTGTGTACCATAATTTTTGTATCTGTTGTGAGCGAAAAACATCAAGCGTCGAAGCATATTTCTAGCTACTGCATCAGTACACAACATGTGACCGAATACAATTGTTGAGATAAGCGCACACCTGTAGGTAGCTATCGGACGTCGAGTGAGCGGCAAACAGCAGTCTCGATGATGAACGCATCCAGTGTCAAGCTCTTCGCGTCCAGGCGGACCGTGTTGGCCGATCGGTTGGCTCCGCAGCCGGCCATTTTGGCCGTGTCGGAGGGGAAAATAATAAAAATCATCGTGTGCAATGCTGGCGATGCCGACATAGAAGATCGACTACTGCGAGTAATGCAAATTTTATTATTACTATTATTACCGATTTTTTGTGAAATTTACAAAATCGATCGGTATAAGGAAAAGAACTATACAAAGGCGCATATGTTGATACCGATGTTAATTCGCGATAGGAGTTCGGAGGCTGCGAGTGCGAGGATTTTGGCGATCTGGTCTTGATGCCCGGTGTCGTTGACTCGCACGTTCATTTAGACGAGCCCGGACGCGGTGACTGGGAGGGCTTCTGGACGGGGAGCCGAGCAGCCGCGGCCGGAGGCGTCACCACTATCGTTGACATGCCGCTGTGCGTCTGTATAATTATATTATAATCGTGAAAAACGCTAGATGTGATTGTATTTTAAGTATACTGATGGAATTTTTTTGTTTGTTTTTCGTTTCACTGTCGAATCGAACAATGGGAGTACAGGGACTCGATCCCGCCCACAACCACAGTGGAAAATTTGAGATCAAAGGCACGTGCCGCTCGGACGCAGCTTTTCGTAGACATTGGCTTTTGGGGTGGCGTGATACCTGGAAATCGGGTATGATATCCATATGTATACATAGATATGTGTAATGTGTTGAAAAATCTTTAAAAATCAATGACGGTTTCTTGAATTTTATAAACAAGTGTATTTAGTTGGTTGGATTTTTTTTTTTTTTTTTCAATAATTAGGTATTTAATTACTGTCTTTGATAAAATATTCAGTCAAAGGGTGTGCAATGATTGGTCGATTGATTTGATCACACTGTAATGTGAACTAAATAAATAAAATCTAAATTATTTTGGAAACTTGTTACTTACGTATCATTACTTGAGTATTTATTAAAACTGAAGAAAATAATTATTGTTACGTATGTAATTTATTGACAAATTAATCTGTGAGTATGAAACAACAACAAAAACATCATTAACGATAATAATAATAATAATAATAACTAAATATTTTAATTATTTATATAGTTATTTATGTACTAATACTCTAATACAAAAGAATGATTAAATCATAACAATCAATGAGAGAATTAATTACAAGTATAATTTATTACAAGTTATTACAAGTAATAATTTTTTCAATGAAGCCATTGGTAACAACAAAAACATTTAATTCATCCAAATTACTTTCTTGAAAATATCCTTTCGGTTAATTATTTAACAATTAATTATACGAAACTTAATATTTTACAAAAATCCATTAGATTATTAATCAAAATTATTCAATAACAATAACTGAAATAGTACGCGGATTATTTCTTCAAGCATAGCACAATACTTAATTTAAAGAAAATTACAACTATTTTCGTGATGTATCTACATTAATATATGCATGTTTTAAAGAGAGAGAGAGAGAGAGAGCTGTAAATTAGGAAACCGAATAGCACCACAATGCATTGTCACATTGTCCAACAACAGATTGATCTGTTGTTAGCTCATAATATTTTTGTTATCAGTATCTATATTTTTGTTTTTTGATAAATTGAACTAAATCTCGTAGGAGGACCTGAAACCACTCTCAGAGGCTGGTGTAGTTGGATTTAAATGTTTCCTGTGCCCCAGTGGTGTCGACGAATTTCCGCAAGTTACCGAGACCGACATAAGAAACGCCATGCTGGAACTCCGACGTCTAAACTCCGTTTTAGCAGTATATCTACATACTTTATAATTATTTATTTCTTCATTGTCTGAGCACCAAGTTCAACTTTTTTTTACGCAGTAGATAATATCTACTGCGTAACTACATATTATATCTACTACATATTATAATGGTGCAAGAATGAGTCCGAGAAGTTAAAATTTTCACGGTGTCAGACTGAAAAAAATATAGCTTATGCAACTCATGCACGTGATGATAGTTGCACTTGTGCAAAGATCACCAGCTTCGCGCATTTGTTGCGTAATATATTTTTTAACGGTGTACTTACCTATTCTTGTATCGTAAGCGACTTTACTTTATTTTTCTTTTATTACCTACAGTTTCACGCAGAGCTCGATGTCGATGATGTTTCTAACAAAACAAACGGTACATACTGACCTGACTTTTTTTTCCTGTTTTTGGTAACAAAATATTACTAAATACAACATATTTTACAAATACTTTTTTTAAATTATTTAAAAACATAGTAGTAAGAAAAAACTTTTAGTTTAAAAAAATATCGTGTTTGATATTTTTTTGTCAATCATTATATGAAATTTCTTACTATTTTTCTGTACTTGTTTCACTTTTTTCACCTTGATTGAAAATTACTTTTTGAATACGATTGTCAGGAGTTTAAACTTCGTTAGGCGATTAAAATACAAAGATTTGTAATANATCATTCGGCTCGGCTGACGTCATATCGCCAGAATTACGTCATGCCGCGGAGAATGTTGCTTCTATACGTTATGAACGATATGGTGAAAGTTATGTGTCTAATTCATTGTTTGATTTGAAAGTTTAAAAAAATATTTTTACAAAATAAAGATTTTCCATTTAAACAATGGATTCGTCATTCACAGAAATGGAATACAGTTTTTCAGTAGTTATACAAGAAATTTAAGCACAATAATCATACATACACGAAATAATTTTCAGGAGATCCTTATGATTACGAGACATTTTTAGCAACACGACCGGCAACTATGGAAGTGAACGCGTTGAAGATGATAGCAAAATTATGTTCGGAATACAAGTAATTGCAACAATATATCAACGCGTCACTAAACGAGAAAACAGTTGAAAATAAACCAAAGTTTTTCTCGCGAGTGCGTGATTAATTGAAAAAGTGGGATGTCTTTGCAGGTACCCTTGTCATGTAGTGCATTTATCGGCTGCTGAAGGTCTAGACTTGATAAAAATAGCGAAAGATGAGCAACGATTACCAATAACAGTGGAAACCTGTAATCACTACCTTCATCTGACAGCCGAAGAAATCCCACGGAGTGCAACGCAATTCAAATGTAATCCGCCGATCAGAGACAAAACCAACAGAGTTAGTTGTGCTTATACCTTACATACTCTTATATGTTAGCATAGTATTCATGAGAATGTTGTACGATTATCGTATTCTTTCTTGTTTATACATATGTCTTTCTTTATTTATTTTTTTGATTTTTTTTACAACTATTAGTAAATTTCTTTCATATTGATAGTTATTGATGAGCCTGGCTTTTTAAATTTTTTATTTTATTTTATTTTTTCGTTGCGAATTCAAATAACTTGTATCACTTGTGTTGATATCCAATAGAACATAACATTCCAAAACGAGGACATGCTTTTTAGGGATGTCTCAGTATTAAAACGTACATTTTATTTAAATAGAGTTTGAGTGGGATCAATGCCATCTAGAATATAGGGTATTTGAGGTTTTTTGTCTAAGTGTTCATGGGCGTTAAAACAGCAATACAAAAAAAATATTTTTTTTTAACCCTAATTAAACTCAAGAAAAATTGTTATTATTGGTGAAATATACACGATGAAATCTCCAAAACTTATGGAGGTATAGACTCTTCTAATCCAACTAGTACTGTATAAAACTTTTTCCGAAGAATATAACTTACTGCTGCAAGTTATATATTAAAAAAAATACCTCTAGAATCTTGGAAATTTTGTACACTCGTATAAAAAAATTGAATAAATAGTACTTTTTTTTTTTTTTTATTATTAAAATGATATGAGAACAGAACTGAGTTCTAAGAATGAGCAAAACCACCGATATTTTTATTATTTATTCTCTTGACATGTATTTTGTACACATGTGACACACGTTACCACGTTAATCCATCATCAGCATTTTTGTTATATCGCAAACATAAGTTGTATGCTTGTTTTATCGTAAACACTTTGCACTGAAATTGCATTCCAGGCTGCGATATTTTATCACTAAAAGCGTCGTCATTATATTATATTATGTTGGAAAGCTTCATATTGTACCCTCGTGCATCACCAGGAAAAACTGTGGTCCGGCCTGAAAGACGGAACCCTGGACCTAGTGGGGTCGGACCACTCGCCTTGCCCCGAAGACCTGAAGCTCAACCACGACTTCCTGCAAGCCTGGGGCGGGATATCCTCCCTGCAGTTCAGCCTGCCGTTGTTCTGGACCGAGGCGAGGAACCGCGGATTCGGCTTGCCAGATGTGGCGCGTCTCATGTGCTCGGCCCCTGCCCAACTCTGCGGGCTCGGGGGCACGAAGGGCAGGTTGGAGCCAGGACTCGACGCCGATTTCGTTGTCTGGGATCCCGAGCGGACCATCGAGGTTTACCATTATATTCATTTATTTTGGGTTATTGGAGCTTATAATTTATGAGCACGATGATGTAATGCCGTTTTGTTTTTCCCCCATTTTGTACAGATTCAACCATCTGGAATTTTTCACAAGCATAAGGTGAGCCGTTGTTTTGTTAGGATAACGCACATAAATATAATGAGTTACGAATTTGTAAAGCGGGAGATGCGCTGATAAAATCTGCGACGCGCCATGAATTATTCAGCGGTTCGGAACAAGTTGTTCGTACAAGTTTTGAGAATCGGTATAGAAAAGCAGGCGGTGTTACCTCGGAAGGGGACACGTGTTTTTTATTTTTTTAGGGGGTTTTTTGAAAATAGAAAAAAACGTTTTTACAACTGGAGCGAGTGATTTGAAACTTGTCATAACTACAGAAATTTAGGTGTTTTTTTTTTTTTCGTTTCGAGAGAATTTTCACTCGTATTCGAGTGAACGGAATAATAATACTCATTTCAAATAAGTACCCAATTTCAATATATGCATGGTTTTTTTTTACTTGGTCCCATTCAGCCGAATTTTTGTTAACAGGGAAGAAAAATTTAATGTGATTTAAAAAATAGTTGGTAGTGTTTGTTTTTATTTGTGTTTATTTTTATTTTTGCTTAAGCTGGGTATACGAATCACTTCTTCGTACAAAAAGGAAAGTTAAAAGAAAGTATTTGGATTTTTTTCCAATCTGAATTTTCGTACAGAATCCCCAAATAATTATTTACTTCACACCGGTTCTTATAACCGTCTCAATAGTAGCGTGAAAAAAAAAACTTACTGACATACGCCACCAGATACAAGAACTATTTTTTTTTTTCACTTTAGAAACTGAAAAAAAAATTAATAAATTGGTAAAAAACAAAAAAACTTTCAAGTGTGACACGTGTATTCATATTATTGTTTTCCACAAAACTCGAAAAAAATATGAATTTCTTCTATTAATTATTTAAATATCTGTATGCAGATAATATATATATAGGCTTTCACAGATTTTAGGTCTAATAAAGACTGTGCGTTGATCAACAATACCGTAGTTGTCTAGCAATGAAAAGTCATAAAACTTTCTTTATTTGAAAGTACACACACTGTTGATTACAATTTTGGCTTAGGTCTATTGAAAATAATTAAGTAACAACTGAGAATTTTTTTCGAACTTGAGGAATTATTTACTATAAAACTATTAAGTTTACGAAAAATTTTAAAAGTTATCTGTTTTTTGTAAAATAAACTAAGGAATCTAAAAAAAACATATGTATTTTTAAGAGTACACTACTGAGCTATCAATATCTTTCGTAAATTAAGTGTGTACTTATTTGAAATAGACGTTTTAATTGCTTTGAAAGTTTTTATTTAAGTCAATGATATTATCCTCACAAACAGTATATGAAATAAATAACAGAGATTATAACTAGTGGATTTAATTATAGAATCTTGATACTTTTATGCGTATTATTTTTACATTATTGTTATTGTTAGCAGCAACTTTTCTGTACATACCTAATTTTGTATTTTCAGTTAACTCCTTATTTGGGAGAAAAACTCTTTGGAAAAGTATTTGCTACCATAGTGCGAGGTAACTTTGTCTACAAAAATGGCGAGTTTAGCGAAAAACCACTTGGAAAACTGCTGTTGCAAGAGAATTTTCTATCCAACTTGTAAGATACGAGGATGTTAATATGTTATTTTGTAATCAGTGGCCAGTACAGAGAATAAAAAAATTATTTTAACACTCATTCTTCATTTGATTGTTTACATTACATCCAAAACTATAAAGATCAATGACATTTTAAATACTTTTTCATTGTTCAGCAATTAAAAAGTTGTGAGTAGTGTGTAAAAAAAAAAACAAAAACAAAAAAAAAAAGAAATAAGAAAAAAAAAGTTGCAAGCCATTACTAATGAAAATAAATTATCCGTGGTACAGCAGATGGCAAATTGGCGCGTTCGATTTTCACTTGATCCGACATACTTATAGGCATGGCATCCTTGAAAGCGACTTTGTGAGCTATAGCAGAGGTGAATCATTCGGCTCGGCTGACGTCATATCGCCAGAATTACGTCATGCCGCGGAGAATGTTGCTTCTATACGTTATGAACGAATATTTTCATTTTTCAACTCGTCAATGGTAAGTTTATTGCGCTTACACTATTTATATATAAAAACTATTGGACTAGGTTTCACTTTATCCATACTCTTCAGTTTACAGAAATACTACCTGTTGAATGAAAATATATATATTGATACATATTTATTGCGTTCAACGTAATTTTGATTATTCATGTTGATATTTTGATGATTCGTCAATATTATCAAAGGCTGTTACTATGAACAAGTTTTATGGAAATGAAAAACTGTACACTGCACATAATAATGTGATTAAAGTCGCGTATGTAAATTTCAATTATTCCGAATAAAAAAAAACCATACCTTGTCTAGTGTAATTAATCAAGTTCTATATGCGATTAATGCAAGTATACGCGCTGCAATTAATGTTGATGACGCAAGTAGCGTTTATGATCATAAATCTTAAATGTATTACTTTGGGCACTTACTAATTGAAATCATCGTAAAGCCGCTGATGAAGCTTGTAATAAACTTGCAGTGGATGTAGGTGAGTAATGAGGATTTTTTAATAACATTTAGCGTAACAATTAAGGTATTTCAGCATGATGTGAAGGTAAAAAGAAAATCTAGCATCCTTTATTTATTTTTACCGACAGGGAATATTTAATCAACGTACTCTAATTCAGTAACAGCGATCTAAAGTGGTGGCAGTGGCAGTTGGAAATTGTTTAGATTTTTGTCGATACAAAAAAAAATTTTACCAAATTTGTTTTTGAGATTAATCAATAAGAAAATGTTTTCGAGTGTTTTTTTCTAAAAATATAATGCTAGCGCAACATACTTTTAGTTTGAAAGCGGATTTTTTAAACTTTATTAATGTACTCATCACTAAAAATTACGAGATGTAGAAGAAAATGTCTAAAAAACCTTTTGCTTCTTTAACTTTGGCTCAAAAAATGTGAAGAAAAATTTCAAAAATTCAAAAATCCTTTTAAAATTGCAATTACGCAAAACATATTTTTCAGCTAGTCGCTAATTTACAAAAAACAGTGAAAAACCTTTAGAACGGTTAAAACAAAGAAAATACGAATGGTAAATTGTAGTATTATTACAGAAAAATTACTATACGATGAATCATCACGTATATATAGCTGTTGCAAACAGTTGATGATGCTTTTTTTACCAACACTTACTGAGTACAAAGAGATGATACATTTGTGCATGGGTTTCATCCGCAAAAAAAGACTTAAAATGAAAGAAAATAAAAAAACTTGGAGCATAAAGTCACAAGAACATGTATGTATATATGTACACACGTACACCACAGCGAATAATTATTTATGCCATACCAACAGAAGAAAACAAATATGATACATAATGTAACCAGTATGTGTTCTTTCATTTCCCGTAACTGCGAGAAATACGCGCAGGTATGTTAATTCCTTCCTCTTGATGATTGCTTCTTCTTTGGAGTCTACTTGACATTTGTATTTTGAATAAATTTGAATAACATCATTTTTTGCATCCATTAGATTTTTACCATTTTTTTGGAACGTTAAAAATGAACGAAAACAGTTTGGTTTCATTTTAACTCAAAAAATTAAGAGTATGTTCCAAAAAGAATCCAGAGGTTTTTAAGTTATAATTTTATACATAGTGAAAAATTGTTATTTCAATTGATTGAGAATTTGGTGGTATATGGGTACGATTTGAGAATTGAATGTAGAGTAAAAATCATATTTTCAGCCTACGGAGTAATTAGGAAAAATCGATCCGAAAAATAATTGATAATTCCAACATATCGTTGCTCTTTGTGAAAAAAGTGCGATTCGAACAATTCGAACTCTTTGCTTTAAGCAAACTCCAAGAAAGATAATGTTTTTCGTAAAAATGAGCATTTACATTAACCTACTTGAACTATTTAAAATCATGTTTAAAAAATATTTTTACTGACTACACAACCGTAATGTAAATATTTTTTCTCGTGGACTATTTTGAATGTTATTTATATTCATGGGGAACTCCGAAACGTATTTTTTTTTTTTCGCGGAAGGTCGAAGCAAAAATTTTTTTCGTATGGGGCAACGATATGTGCGTTTGTATGTATATTTACGTATAAATATATTACCAGCACGAGCGGACTCAGATAATAACGGCGAGAATGACCTATCACAGCCTATGTATAGGCATACGCGAAATTTCATAAAAATTTATATGGGGTATATTTTACGTGACATCAAGCACCAAAAATTCATATTTTGTTTTCTACATCCCTTTAAAACTATACAATTCTACTAAAAATTCTTACACGTCAGTCAAAAAATATCATACGAATTCGAAAACTCGCGCAGTCACCCTTTTTTTTACGAAATTTCAAAGACGTATTTTTTCTTAACACCTACATTTTTTCTTAGCGAAAACGGGTGGAAAATTAGAAACACCTGACTGATAATATGGTACACGTTTATTATATGCATCAACAGAGCATTTAAATCAGAATATCCGGACACCAGTGATTAAAAAATTATTTTCTGTTATCCACCCATAATATATTATTACTTTCCAAACTGTCCAAATTTTTGTCAAAAGCCAACATATTATTTTGTTAAACCAAAAATGATGACCCTTTCGTATGGAATTTCTCACACATCACACATCACGTAATATATGTACATCACGTATCTTATTACAAACACACTTTGTAGGTTTGTAGGTTTGTATTTGTACATACACACAAGCTCCATGTAATACACACACACTACATCGAGCGACGCGCATCCACACGAAAAACTCACGTCATTCGCTCGATGACGTCAGCGGCAGTTTCTCTCTCTCATTCGCTCTTACAAGTATTACTTTACAACTCGTATTTCGCAGCTATAGTATACTGAGCTTCGATTTTTTTTTATTCCCAAAGAGAGAGAGAGAGAGAGAGAGCAAATACATCGAAGGCTGTACGCGCTTTATACTTTACCTTATCTATACATTTTTTTTCTCTCCCTATTTTTCCAATGACGCGTAACATTTACAATACTCACACTCACCCATGACTTTGAGTGCAACTTTCAACGTTTGATATAAAAAAAATTACGTTCGGTAAATTCGTTACAATAACCGACAGAGGGAAAGTTTTTTTTTTTTTTTTTTTTTTTCTCATCTTTACTCCTAGGGTAAAAGCTGCCCGCAAGCTCGTACGCTTACTTCTCTCTGAACCAGTTAATATTCCCTTTCAATTATCAATATATGTTTTAATTGCCAAAAGTAAACAAAACCAAAAATAACGAACGTAACTTTGAGTTGCATAGGGGCTACTGAGTGTTGGACTGCCCCAGTGGGACGGAGGTCCGAGTCCCGGGTAGGTCAACTTCTCCAAAGATGAATCTGTGGAATTTTCTTCTCGAGTCTCGCAACTGGCTCCGCACATCAGGGTTACCTGCAACGGAAGGATGGGAAGGGGGGGGGCGGCTTGTACCTAAGATCGGGGTGTACAAGGGGGTGGAAAAGAGGCGTCCAGAATAATCCTAAGGATTAGTTGAGGCAGGGTTTGTAATGGAAAATGAGGTAAGGGAGTTACTATACATAGTCGAGGTCTACGATCAACACCCTCCCACGCAGAGAGATGGTAAAAGGGTGACTGTAAAAATTACACAAAATGGTGTACGGGTAGGAAAAAAAAAAAAAAAGAAAGAAACGAAATCGACTGAAAGATACTCGCGTTTACAAACATCGTACAGACAGAGACGCGTCATTTTGTTTGTTGCCCGAGGCGCACGGCAAAATAGCCTGAACAGAAAAGAGGGACTCGAGGCCGTGCCATTTTTATATACGTGTATCAATATACACACAACGCAAAGAGCGGCAGCGAAATAATAAAACGAATGGAAGTGATAAAAAGAGTTGTACATTGGAAAATTATATCTAAGAAAATAGCCGTTAAAATGAAAAAAATATCTCGAAAATCATTTTTATCGTACATCGTGTTTGAGGGGGTATCAATTAATTTAGCCATTCGAAGAGTTTTAAACTACCCAACGCAGAGAAATCTTACGTCCAACCTGAATAACAAATTAATTCAACGTAACTATATAATTATATAAATACCATCGTATGTTACTGTCGTGCATGTTATTAATCGTTATCTTACAGTACTAATTAATTGCTATATAATTGCAGTCCGAACAGGACCAAAACACCCTACATTTTCTCTCTCTTTCTGTACTTGTACATAAATTTATATATATATATATATATTTAATGATTGACGCAAGTGCGCAAATTTATCTAGTAGACACCAAAAACTGATAATATATCCGATCGAAATCGGTTGATCGGTATGCGATCGTCAAGTTAGGTTCGCGTTTCAAATCCCAAATGGCCAAAACCCGCGTTCGTATACGGCGCTTTGATCCGGCTGGGCTGGGCTCGATATCAACGTATATAAATCACGTTTATCCACAAAAGTAAACTATCATAAATTTAATTATATATATATATANAGGCCTCGGAGCACTTGAATCGAACAAGACTCTATTAGGTACGTTCCACTTGGAAATAAAAAGAAGCGTGTTCACGCTCGGCTTTTAAAAATGTCGTGTGTGCGAACACCCACGGGCTTCCGTACGCTAATACCAATATATATATATATATATCACACGTTGAACTTACCCAAAATCGTATCAAACTGATTTTTGAGCCGTTAAAAACGACAAAAAAGCTGTTACCTCGAAAGCTCCTCCCATCGCGCGCTTTTCTGCTTTCTTCTTCGCAAGAGTACCTTATACTTTATTCTATACTCGATAAAATTACACGTGATAGCAAGTTCTTACAATCATGTACTTGCAATAAAAGTAACCTTTTTATTACCTAAAACGCAAGAGGGGAGAGTATAAAAAAATCGCGACGACGACGGTTAGTCAGAGCAGTAGAGAGAGAGATATCATCAGTTCTCTTATCTCGCTCTCGCACACGTGTGCTCTGTTTTCGTATAGATCGCAGCCTCTCTCTCATGGGTCCAAGCTCTCTTTTAAAGCTTAAAGCTGTGTCCGCGCAAAACCTCTCCGTCGACTCCGTGTCTCGCGCACGTGCGGGCAATAAGGAGGGGTGGGCGAGGGGGTGTGCAACATGATAGGAGGAGTAGAGGTGGACCACGAGGGGGGGGGGTCAGTCGGCCATTTTGTTGGTGACGCGCAGCCCGGAGGTCGTATGGGCTCCACCAGTGACGAAGCCACTGGAGTTTTGACGTGGCTGCTACGTACCTGTCTGCTTGCCCACTCCGATTGCAGCAAAGCTCGGTGACGAGAAATACGTAACTGGTAAGTAAAGTCGTCGTCGTTGCTGCACCGCGGCGGCCCCTTCTCGTGTCGTCTATCTTCTGTCCTCCGTGTGTACCCGTGTGTGTTTCTCTCTGTCTTGCTGCATCATCAGCAGCAGCAGCCGCGCTTCTGAAGCAGCTTTGCTCCACCAACCAGATGAGGACGAGGCGTCATCGGCGACCTGACTGCCAATACTCTATACGGCCCACTTACCGATGAACCCGGCTCAGTTACCGTTATGTGTTGTCTGCAGCTTTTCCTCTTCTGGATTCCAACAAAAGTCCAGCAGCAGAAGCAGTAGCAGCAGTAGCTACGTCCACGACTTGGTGCTGTAGCTTGCACCGAGTAGACAGAGCTTGTTTATTGACGCGCGGCCACCTATTTTTAGGGGCCTTGGTTTTACTCGCTCCTTATGTAAAGCTCCTTCCTTCCGGAGGCAAGACTTGGGCGGTAAAGTTGCTTCTGCTGCTGCTACTGCTGCTGCTGGTGCACTTCTTTGTGTCGATGTACGGGTGCAGATAAAAACACTTATAATAGTTGCTATAATGATAAAAAGTGCCAAGATGTGCCGTGATGTGTCATGTTGTTGTTGTTATGGTTGCCTGGCTGACTGATATGGTTGATTTTGGGTTGGTTGTTTTTGACACATGCCTGTCTTTTGTAACGAGTGCGCGCGGTGATGCGTGCCGCTGCTTGCAGGGGGTGCTCGTGGAGGTCCCCGGGCTATGGACAGCATGGTCGAGGAGAACGGATCTACGTCAGTGGACCCGCTGGCAGCGCCTGGATCGGCGGCTGGGGCGGCCCAGAGCGGCGACGGCACGCCTATCATCACCTCGGTACGCACTCACTCTTTCTCTTTCTCCTCTTATCTCTCTTTAATTATTATTTGCTTCTTGTTCTCGCTTTTTAGCATATAGAGCCTTCTTATTATCATCGTCACTCTCCTCCTCCTCCTCTTTGACTCTCTCAAACTCAACAGCAGCAACTGGTTGTCTCTGCCAGTATTGTGCAATTCATGCTGCCCTCCTCTATTTGCCAATGTATACACATCAGGACGGCCTTTTCTCTCTTTAACAAGTTTATACTTATGTCCGATTTCTTTTGACGCTTCTGTCCTATTAATTATCTTTCCAGTCCCTGTGCAACTCTGACTTTGAGCCAAACAGCTGGAACTACTGTTTTCTGTATGGTTTTGACCAGAATTTTAACACGTTTTCTCTAACCAAGGCTCCAGTGCTGTATTTTTTCATTGTTTGATTAGACCATTCTCACTTTGTTTTTTCAGTTTTATTCTTTTTGCTTAATAATGTGACGACATTATCCTAATACATTTCTGCTAACAAACATACGTTTGTTTATTAGGTACAGTCAGTGATACAACCTAACCAGCAGTCAGTCATTCAAACGGCAGCAAACGTTCAACCTGTGGCTCTTTCCAAAGGAAACATTATTCTCGTCAGCAAACCCAGTTCAGTGATACAAACAGCGCAAGGGAGCATCCAAGCCCTTCAGGTGAGTGTTATCTGTTTGTTTTGGCTTCTGAGAGATGTTTACTCAAGAAATCTAATCTTTATTTTTGTCTTTCTAAAAACCCTTACTCCAGGTTGTGGAAACAGCCAGTGATGACAGTTATTCTGATGAAGAAACTCCAAAAAAACGAAGGGATCTTTTGTCGAGGAGACCATCCTATAGGAAAATTCTAAACGACTTGGGTGGTGGTGAAATAGCTGGTGAGTAATATTTGGTTTTGCCTGTTTTTATGTAGTATAACTCACTACTAGTCAACTGCAACATTAGTCTCGAAGTTTGCAATTAAAATATATCACAATGGTGGTGCATGTCAGTTCATACAGTCTATATAAAATGCATTCAATTTATCTTACCTATGTTAATAACATAGCAGGTGATTGGTTCATGGTAATGGATTTATTGCTAAGAACACGATGCCATGCCAAGCTTGGTATAACAATCTTATTGGTTTTATTTACAACAAAAACTTTCAGTTTTTTTTTCCCTTTTTATATCCTCATTCCTTGAATAACATTACCAGCCGTTTCAATCATCAGTAGTTAAAAACTATTTTTACATACTTTTTCATTGTTATCACTGTGCATTAAAGTTTATGTGTTTCATAGATGTTTTAACAAATTTGTGTATGACCTGACTGCACAAAAACTCCTTTTTCTCCCCGACTTGAAACTCAAACAATTAAATTGGTACATCTTTAAAGCGACAAATTTACATAGATTATTTAAATATTACTTGAAACTGTTAAATATTTAGTTAAAAATCTGTTCAAAAAGTTCATTAAGTAGTACAAAAATTGGAAATGATCTTAGCCAATAAAACGTGGTTGAATTGGTTGGGTGTTACAGAGGGTCGTTTGCCTCCCCTTGAATCCTCTTCTGAATGTGATTCTAATGTGGACAGTGAAGTATCTTCCCATTCGCTCCATTACCAAACAGGTTGGTCTATTATTACTTGATACGAGAGCTCTTGGCATTTCTGGTGGTTGTTTGTCCTACTGCCTTTACCATACCCTCATTCCAAGAGACTGTACTCAGTTTTTATCGAGTTGAAAAAGTTGTCCTATCCTTTGCACAAGTCATTTACTACGAAATTTCAAATTGTATGTGTACATACATACATGCTTGGTGTGGCATCATTGCTTTCGGGCTCAACACTGTAAAAATCCATTATTTATAAACTTGATTGTACAAAACTTTGGAACTTTAGAAAAATCGCTTAAATTCATTTTTCTCACTTGCTACACTCTCTGACTTGTTATTATCGCATGCTTTTACAGTCATACCCGCAGGAACTATTCAAATAGCTACTCAAGGAGAAGGTGTTCCGGGGTTGCACACACTAAGCATGAGTAACACAACTTCTGCTGGTGGTACTATTGTACAATACGCTCAGGGTCAGGATGCTCAATTTTTTGTACCAGGTTTGTTCAATTCGTTCGTAAATTTTATATCTCCAAACCTATGTTTTTCAACCAATCTAACTTGAAAAATTTTTTTGTTTCTCTCATTTATAGACTGCAAATATAATTTCAATAACATTTCAGCAAGCACCGGGCATGGTGTTGTGGTCGAAGATGCAGCGAGAAAGCGCGAAATGAGGCTTCTCAAAAACAGGTAAATCCATAAAAACTGTACAATAAAAATTCAACTTGATCTTTTCAAACGAAATGAAAAATCAATTTGTCGAAATTTGCAGGGAGGCGGCCCGCGAGTGCCGGAGAAAAAAGAAAGAGTACATCAAATGCTTGGAGAACCGTGTAGCTGTGTTAGAAAATAGAAATCAAACACTAATCGACGAACTGAAGTCGCTCAAAGAATTGTATCAGCAAAAAGCCGACTGAGGATGGTACTCATTGGTGGAGTACCATTTAAACATTAAAGTCGTTGTACAATCATGTATCTGTTGCACAGGATGCTGCACTGATTCATGTACATTGTCATTGATGTCCTTGGGCAAAAAGGGAAAGGTGATGTACGTGCACACGCATACACTCGTCTAGATAAGTGTTTCTTGTAACATATTGTATTTATGTACAACTACAAAGGCTTGTGAAACTTGCTGTTACTAAAGCGAGAAGCCAAAGTTTTACACGCAAAACAGATAACAGTCACACGAGATTGAAGTACATCATATAGATATATAGATATATATTTTTTGTTTTATTTTTTTCTTTTATAATGTATAGACGAGTAATTTTACTCTGAATGAAATGTTGAAACTAAAATGTGAGACATGGATCGTGTAGTTTTATTGCTCTGCCATATAAATGTAATTTAAAACTTTTTATTGCGAGTGTCGAGGAAAAGCTGATATTGGAAGAGCAGTGTACCTTGGGGACAGATATTTATTTTGTTGTTATTAAACAACGGTGTTAATAATTGTAACGAGCATCGATGAAAATCTTGTCACTATGATGTATTTTGAAAATATTGCAACAGCACTCGGAATAACAGTTTAACGAATGCTGGAACAAATGTTACACATTTGTAAAATACAAATGTAATATAAATTTGGAGTGCCTTGCAGATTTGAGAGTATAAATATATATATATGAAAACATGTGTTATACGTAATGTAACAAATCTAATAGTATGTCAACTAAACAACTATCTATGGACAAAATATTTTTAAATGACTTAATACTGAACGTTTTATGGTAGATCAAACTTACCTATATAAATAGTTTTCGGTTAATAAACATCAAGATGTTGATATCTTTTTGTTGAGCTGAAGTGCAACACGAAAAACTGTGGTGTAGGTTAATCTGCAATGGTTTTGAATAAATTATTTATTATTTTCATATAAATTGGATTTTTTTTTGTTCTATATATTGGATGCATTTGTGTCGGAGTGTCGCCAGTAATAATGTGCAAAAAGTTATGTCCAGATGTTAATTCGCTATTTTCTACTGAATAAATTGTTAGTCTTGATGTTGAGGTAGGCTGCACTAAAGAAGTTTATGTCGTAACGTTAATAATAATTAAAAAAAAAAAAATGAGTTCGACTTTACATTGTAAGGTGCATCAACGTTAAAAATGAAATTTAATATCCAAAAATTAAAATGGCATGGTTCTATTGGAGAATATTATAAAACAAAAAAGAAGAGATCTTTAACTGTTTGATTAAATCTCACTTGTAATTATATGTATAGTATGTGTATATCTTGGTTACTGCGCTTATAAATTAGAGTATTGAGTATTGTAAATAGATATGATATATACATGTATTTTTACATATCATTGGCCTTCTTCAAAAAGTATTGCTTGTAAGTCTATTGATAAAAAGGTTTTATCCATTTTCCTAATCGACAGAATGAAGACCAAATCGTATGAAATATAAATTTATTTTCAGTTCAGCTGAAAGAGAAATAAATATCACTAAAGAGTAAAAAATAAATAAATAATATAAAAACTAATTTTGTACACCGAAAGAAAGAGAAGGAGAGAGTGAATAACACTAAATGTAATGGAATTCACAATAAAACTTAAGTGATATGAAATAGTAATAAACTATTTGCTGTTCAACAAAAATCTTTAATTATACATGCCTTTTTACTGACTTTACACATTGAAGTCTCCTCCCCTCCCNGTAAATGTAGTAAGTAGATAAAGAAATGAATGAAAACTAAAGGGTGGTCCACTCACGTATCCAGACGAATTTTTTTGAGGGCGACGACCTTGCCCGTAAGTTTGTCCTTGGCCTTGTAGACGACTCCATACGTACCCTGACCGATCTTCTCCAGTTTAAAATAATTGTCCATCATCCTGGTCAACTATTTTCAGCTCAAACCTGATTAATCCGGGATATGCACGTGGAAAAACACACACACACACAATTATAAATGAAGGCCCTACTTTGTGAGGAAGACAAACTATGTAAACACTACATGTACTTACTTACCTCAAGAGAGAGAAAAGAAAATCAGCTGCCGTGGATGGCTAAGGTGTATCGTTGTGGTATTACTACTTTCTGTGCTACCTTATCAGATTTAGGAACGAGCTGATTGGCTTTGCTGACTCGCTGATGATGAGTACAGGTGACATCACGTTTAAAAAATAAACTCAATTTAGGTACTAGTCAGCATCAGCGATCTTAAAAGTGGCCACCGATCAAGCGCGCGAAATTTAAATATGGTACTTGCAAAAAAAATACTAGTAAAAATTAAATTATTGATCAAATAATAAAAAAAATACAATTGATAACGCAATAATTATCCAAGACGCATTCGAATCAACATTTTTCTTCTAAAATCTCAAATGCAAACATATATGAGTATACGCTGAGTATCGTAATGATAATAAATGTCATTGGTTGAATGGTATTACCAAAAACTTGACATTTTTTTAGTCAATACTGATAATTTGTTGACTCAATAATTTCGTTTAATAGTTTCTATTACAGTGTAGAACATAATTATCATTAAGAGCGGGTGTCTGTTTTACCATTAGTGCTACGCAGTATTGTGGAGTTTATCGACGGTGCAGAAAGTACGGTCACATGAGTTTGCGTGCCATGGAATTCTCGCTTTCCAGTTTATCAATAAATTTCGCTTTATGAATAAGTTTATTACTATCACTCTTTCCTTGCTATTGCCATTATGTATTGCGTAATAATAGATCCTCACTAGTATTGTGTATGATTGCAAGAAATAATAAAAATATTTTAAAAAAAATTAGTACATAAGCAATTCTGTCTTCATTGAAAAATAAGGTAAAAATATAAAGTATTGTTACAATAAAATACTGAAGCTACTTCTAAATTGATTTGAATCATAAACTCATGAATATCATGTGTATTATCTTACAAGGTTCAGAAAATTCGTAAATACAATAAAAAATTTCCTATACCTTCAATAACATTTGGGTTACCGGATTATTTATCCATTGGTCAACACACTTGAGCTTCTTGTCTAACTTTTCTAGAAGAATAACTATCGTACTCGACCTTCAGCATATTTGTTTTTATAGTATCTACCTTTCATGCATTTTGTTATCATTGATTCTGCCGGTTGAAAGGGGCCTCCTTTAAAAGTATTAATATGCTGTTGAGCTCGCAATGCTCCATCAACTGTTTCGACTTTTAATAAATTCTTATTCTTGGTTTTGTAGTTATTCATTGCACTGAAATCTCGTTCTGTATCGACGCTTGAATGAGGGACAGATAGTGCCATTAAAGCTAGAGACGATATTCTTTCAAAAATATAAACATCATCGACATGCATAGATCTGATATACCACCAGAATTCATCAATTTTCATATCGTACACACGGACGCTAATGTCAATCGCTAACTCTGGAAGTAGATTCCACTCACTTTGAAGTTGTAAAAGATGCTCTTCGTCAACAATCATTTTTTTAAAATAATTTGTAAATCTAATAAGTGCATCTGGATCTTCGAGACGATACTGAATCGATAGAGCGTTCAGTGGTAACAAACAAGTTACTGCACTATATAGCTCATTATTAAAGTTGTTGAAGCGGTTTTTCATTTCTAAAGCGATAGACAAGATAAAATTAAATGAAGCTACGCAAAATGAACTCATATCGCTTGGTCTTGAAAGTACTTCGTGCCTAACGCCGTCACCCAACTGAAAATCTATGAAAGGTAAGTACTCCTTACAGTTAAATAAATCTAGTTTACCAGCTGGAGTTTCAACCACGTATTTCCGATTCATAATGGAGGAAACAATATTTTTATACGTTTTTTTTACAAAATAATTGGCTTCATGAAGTACTACGTCACTCCTTTGAAAAAATAAATTCAGAGAATTTAATTGGCCCAATGCATGCTGCAACATAAAAAAATACGACTTCATGTCAGGTTTGTCCATTGCAATTACTACTTTTGTAGCCAACTCATCGCCCTCATCAGCCAGTTGTTTTGCAAAATAATAGAGAGCTGGCCACTGCTCTATATCTCTATCGACAGATTCCTGCAATGAGAGCCAACGCGTTTCAATGTAACGTTTTATTGCGTGCTTTTTAACATTTAAAAGAGTTTGCACATTTTCAAAATCCCGCAATCTATTTGAATGTTTAACCATGGTATAAAAATTATTGATTAAATCAAATACATCTTTTGGTATCTCTTCCATCGCGTGTTTGAAACAAAGATGCGTGATATGAGATGGACACTGCACACTTTTAATGCCTGGAATCATTTCTTACAAACGAGCTTTAACACCACTAACTTGGCCCATCATCGTTGAGCAACCGTCAGCTGCAAATGCAATTATATTTGTTATTGGGACCTCAAAATCAGAGAACGATTTTTCAATGCACTCGATTAAGCGTGATGCGTCAGCTTTGGCTTTTGCCCCGGGAATAAAAATCGGATACAGGTCCCACAGTTCTGATTTAATTCGCCTGCTTTGGGGATCCGCATATCTAACTCTTATGGCTAAAGATTTTTGTTTCGAGTAGTCCGTGCTTTCGTCGATAGAAATACCAAAATATATTTCTTGCAGTAATTTAGCGAGGTCCTCTTTAGAATTTTCACCAATTACATTGACGATTAAGTTTCGCGTCCTGGCAGGGCTCATGTGCAACTCAGATATAATTCCATCATTGACAATGTTTTGCATATCTTTAAGTACTTTAGGAGCCGCCTTAAACGGTATATTATTTCTAGCGATCAGTGCAGCGAATTTTAATTCAGCAATAGCTTTCTTCCTTGTTATTTCGTTGTTAATTTTAAAGTCAGCTTCAGTGAACCGTGGTTTTTTTCCTAGTTTTTCTTCCAATTTTTTTAAATGCCTGGTTGACAGTGCGTGTTTTTTTATATTATAAAACTTGCCAGCTAGGCTTCTTTTACATAAATTGCAGCAAAATTTTTTTGTGTTAATTTTCTCAAATTCGAGCCAATCACAGAAAGCCGGCACAGATAACCATTCCTTTCTACCTTTCCGTTCTTTCGGTGATTTCAACTTTTTCACATTATCATCATCACGTATTTCCCGTACCTATATAAAACAAGGTATTCATTTGTAATACGAGTTATATATTTGTTTCATTTATTTATAGATTAACACATATACTGCTGTACCATTTATAGGTATAATACGTATTAAAATAAGGATTCCACAAACGGCGAACAAAGCATAGTTGATTAATACTATTTTACTAATGATAAAAAATTAAGTAATTAAAAAAAATACTAGTTATCCTACGGTCTTTGTAATAAGCCTTTAAAGTAATTTGAGAAAGAAATGGCTTTGATTCATTCTGGGAAAACAAGAGTCTATTATAATATTAGGTCTACATTGATTTTTCAAATTTTGAGGCCTCTACATACTTTCAAAAAAAAAAGAATTAATTCCAAAAAAGCATTAAAAAGTTGTTAATAATAATTTTTTGTTTGATGATAGTTTTGTTGTATAAATTGATATTTTTTTTTTTTTGTTTAATATCAGAACAAAAAAACAATTACTACAAAACATTAAAAGTCTACCAATAAAATTATTTTGCTATGATTTTTGGCAAACTTCTTGCTTGCATCGAAATTCAGGAAAGCTCTTTATTTTGATATGCTCGCACAAACTAAGCATTGATTGTATAAGTTATATTGTCACTGAAACGAAATTACGTAATATAAACTGGTTTAGTACATTTTACGTTGCAACAAGGATTCTGTAGCGGATCGATAGAGCGTTCAGTGGTAACAAACAAGTTACTGCACTATATAGCTCATTATTAAAGTTGTTGAAGCGGTTTTTCATTTCTAAAGCGATAGACAAGATAAAATTAAATGAAGCTACGCAAAATGAACTCATATTGCTTGGTCTTGAAAGTACTTCGTGCCTAACGCCGTCACCCAACTGAAAATCTATGAAAGGTAAGTACTCCTTACAGTTAAATAAATCTAGTTTACCAGCTGGAGTTTCAACCACGTATTTCCGATTCATAATGGAGGAAACAATATTTTTATACGTTTTTTTTACAAAATAATTGGCTTCATGAAGTACTACGTCACTCCTTTGAAAAAATAAATTCAGAGAATTTAATTGGCCCAATGCATGCTGCAACATAAAAAAATACGACTTCATGTCAGGTTTGTCCATTGCAATTACTACTTTTATAGCCAACTCATCGCCCTCATCAGCCAGTTGTTTTGCAAAATAATAGAGAGCTGGCCACTGCTCTATATCTCTATCGACAGATTCCTGCAATGAGAGCCAACGCGTTTCAATGTAACGTTTTATTGCGTGCTTTTTAACATTTAAAAGAGTTTGCACATTTTCAAAATCCCGCAATCTATTTGAATGTTTAACCATGGTATAAAAATTATTGATTAAATCAAATACATCTTTTGGTATCTCTTCCATCGCGTGTTTGAAACAAAGATGCGTGATATGAGATGGACACTGCACACTTTTAATGCCTGGAATCATTTCTTGCAAACGAGCTTTAACACCACTAACTTGGCCCATCATCGTTGAGCAACCGTCAGCTGCAAATGCAATTATATTTGTTATTGGGACCTCAAAATCAGAGAACGATTTTTCAATGCACTCGATTAAGCGTGA